GTTGCTAAAAGAAATTTTAGGGGATCCCTGGGTGGCTCAGCGGTTTAGAGTCTGCCTTTGGCCCAGGGTGTGATCCTGGAGTCCTGGGATCAAGTCCCGCATAGGGCTCCCTGCATGGAGCCTGCTTCTCCCTCTGCCTGTGTCTCTGCCTCTGTCTCTGTGTCTCTCATGAATAAGTAAGTAAAATCTTAAAAAAAAAGAAAGAAAGAAATTTTAGAGAGAGAGAGAGGAAGTGCGTGGGAGCTGGGGAGAGGGACAGAGTGAGAAGGAGAAGCAGATACCCTGCTGAGCAGGGAGCCTGACTTGGGACTCAATCCCAGGACCCTGAGTTCACGACCTGAGCTGAAGGCAGATGCTTAACTGACTGAGCCACCTAGGTGCCCTGGTTTCTTATTTCTTCTATTGCCCCTGCCCTCTTCAGCTTGAGCCCTGTTCCCAGAAGATTCTTAATGTAACTTTGTTCTGGATGAGAGTTTTGACTGATTAGCTCTGAGTATTTGTAGTGCCTGCAGTTTCTACGCCTTTACAAGTTTACTGTGGACCATGTATGTCATTCACATGCTATTATACTGAGCAAAACTTTTTTTTTTTTTTTTACATACTTTCCTCAGTTTTGCCTGCTGTGTTGTAATATAGGCACTCATTGTGGGTTATTTTGGAGTTCTTTTGTTCTGTGGACTGGCAAATACCCTGTTACTGTGCTCTACTTCTTCCCACACAGATGGTAAAACCCACATAGATCTTGTAGCTATTGGTGGTTCTTCCTCACCTTCTGGTATTTTAGGATTTTGTGCATTAGATTTTGGTTTTGCTATCTAATTGCTCAGATTTTCTAAGGGAATTGGTAGAGATTTAAAATATTAGCTGCTGTCACATCCTTCTTCCCAAAATTCTCACAAAATTTTTGAGAATTTTTGTGAACTACTAGCCTCTAGACTATGCTGGCTTCTGCTCTCAAGGTTAACATTATGATTGCATTAAATACAAGCTAAACTATAGTTAAAAATTAACTATAACAAATTAACTATATAACATATACTATACTTGTTAATAACATAGGTTGCTATCTAAGAGCCTTTCTGTATCATCTGCAACTGGATATCATAAAAACTGAATGTATGTTTTTTGTGGCCTTTTGAATGCATTAGCTAGGGAAAAGATATAGTAGAAAGAAGTGTATATATGCATGCACACACATACCACACACACACACACACACACATAATAATTATATGTTTGCAAATTTGCCAACACTGCTGGGGTCTTTAAAAATAAAAATATAACAACTTTATTGAGATAAAATTCACATACATATAATTCATTCATTTAAAGTATACCATTCAACAGGTTTTAGTACATTCACAATTGTGCAACCATTGCAGCAAACAACTTTAGGACATTTTCTTCACCTCCGAAAGAAACCCTATAATCATTAGCAGTCAATCCTTGTTTGTCCCCATTTCCAACCTTTCCTCCCCACTAGCCCTTGGCAATGACTAATAGACTTTTCTTCTCTGTACATTCGTCTATTCTATACATTTCAGATAAATAGAATCATACAATATTTGTGACTGGTTTCTTTTTTACTGAGCATGTTTTCAAGTTCATCTATGTTGTAGCATATCAGTACTTCATTTTCCCCCCAAATTTTTATTTAAATTCTAGTTAGTTAACCTACAGTGCAATATTGGTTTTAAGAATGGAATTCAGTGGTTCATGACTTACATACAACATCCAGTGCTCATCATAAGTTCCCTTCTTAATATACCCCTCACTCATCTAGCCCATCCTCCTCCTACTTCCCTCCTTCAACCTTCAGCTTCTTCCCTATGGTTAAGAGTCTTTTGTGATTTGTTTCCCTCCGTCCCTTTTTCCCGCCCCCCCTCCCATATATTCACCTGTTTTGTTTCTTAAATTCCACATATAAGTGAAATCTTATGGTATTTGTCTTTCTTTGACTTCTTTCGCTTAGCATAAAACAGTCTAGCTCCATCCATGTTGTTGCAAATGGCAAGATTTCGGTTTTTTTGATGACTAATATTTCATTGTGTGTGTGTGTGTGTGTGTGTGTGTGTGTACACACATCTCACATCTCACATCTTTATCCTTCATCAGCTGATGGACATTTGGTCTCCTTCCATACTTTGGCTATTGTTGATAATGCTGCTATAAACATCATGGTACTGTACCCCTTTGAATCTGTATTTTTGTATCCTTTGGATAAATACTTAGTAGTGCAAATTGCTGGATCATAGACTGGTTTTGAGGAGACTCCATACTATTTTCCAGAGGCTGCACCAATTTGCACTCCTACTAAGAGTATAAGAGGGTTCTCCTTTCTCTGCATCCTTGCTAACACCTGTCATTTCTTGTGTTAATTTTAGCCACTCTGAAAGATGTGATGTGGTATTTCATTATAGTTTTGATTTGTATTTCCCTGATGATGAGTGATGTTGAGCATCTTTTTCATGTGTCTGTTAGCCATTTGTATGTCTTCTTTGGAAAAATGTCTATTCAGGTCTTCTACCTATTTCTTAACTGGATTATCTGTCTTGGGTGTTGAGTTTGATAAGTTTTTTATAGGTTGTGGATACTAACGCTTTATCAGATATGTCATTTGCAAATATATTTTCCCATTACATAGGCTGCCTTTTAGTTTTGTTGTTTCCTTGGTACTTCATTTCTTTTTATTGTTGAATAATATTCCATTGTATGAACGTATCACATTTTATTTATCCATTCATCAATTGTTGAACATTTGGATTGTTTCCAGTGTTTTTCTGTTATGAACAATGCTGTTATGAACATTTGTGAGCCAGTTTTTATATAGATGTGTGTTTTTATTGGGTATGTGTTTTCAGTTGTATGATTTCTTAAATATGTTCTCTCTTTCTGTGGATTGTCTTTTTACTTTATTGATAATATTATTTGAAGGGACAAAGTTTTTAATTTTGATGAAGTCTGGTTTCTCTATTTTTATTTGTCACCTGTACTTTTATCTAAAAGTGTTTTGTCTGACCCAAGGTCACAAAGATGTATTCCTATATTTTGTTCTAGGAAGAAATTTTTCCTTACCCTTATATTTACTTCACACACCCATTTAGGTATGTGATCTGTTCTAAGCTAATTTTTGTATATGGTGACAAAGGGATCCAAATGAATATTCACTTGCCCCAGCACCATTTGTTGACTCTCATGTTCTGATATGTAGTATGTTCATTTTTTTTTTTCAATTCTATTATGATTATTTCTTCGGTACATGAGTTGTCTTGATTTTTTTTTCTAACCTATTTGTGATCTACTTAAATTTTTAAATTGATTTCTTACTTAAATACATTGTGCTTCTTTGAATGAATACATGACTTAGAATACATGACTACTTCTTAGAAATTCAAAGAGAGTAACATTATGGTCTAGCTATATAATGTCAGTTTTTTTTATTCCTGTGTGCCTGTAAAGAATGAATATTCACCAATTGTTAGACATAATGTGTGTGTGTGTGTGTGTGTGTGTGTGTGTCTTACTTAGATCAAGCTGGATAAATTAGATGTTTATATCATTTGTGTCCTTGGTGATTTTTTTTTATCTCCCCTGTGTCAATTAATAACTGACATTGAAGTGTGTTAAATTGAAATGTGTTAAATCTTCTATCACCATGGTGGATTTCTCTGCTTCTTCCTTTTAGTTTTTTTTTATGCTTAAGGTTTTCTTTTTAATCTTTTTTAAGAGATTTTATTTGTTTGAGACAATAAGAAAGAGAGAGCATGTACACCAGTGGAGGTAAAGGGAGAAGCAGACTGCTCACTGAGAGGGAGCCTGACTCAGAACTCCATCCCATGACCCTGAGATCATGACCTGAGTCCAAGGCAGACATTTAACCCACTGAGCCACCCAGGTGTCCCTTATGTTTAGTTTTAACTTATGGAAAGTTTTAAGCATACACAAAAGGAAAGGGAATAGCATAATCAATTCCTATTGCCCTCTTATCTTTAACCTTTATGAATATATATGGCCAATCTTATTTCATATATATTTTCTCTACCTTCTCTTTTATATTCTTCCAGTGTTTTAAAGCAAATCCTAGACAAAATATGTTATTGTTTTATAGATTCAATGTTTATATTTACTCATACATATATGTATGTATACTCATACATATATTCTGTGGTATACCACAGAATTTGCTCACCATTCTGTTTTACATTTTCACTTATTCGGAAGCATTTCCTTCTGCCCAAAACATATATATTACAGTATCCTCTGGTGAAATCTTAGTGCTAAATTTTGTCAGTTTTTGTTTCTTTGAAAATGTTTTTGATCTTCTGCATTTTCTAGAAAATAAGTGCAGAATTCAAGTTGACAGTTATTCTTTCTGAGCATTTTGAAGATATTATTTCCATGCCTTTTAGCTACCATGGTGGTTGTTGAGAAATAAATAGAAAGCCTAATTTCTGTTTCTTTGTAGCTAATCTCATTGGCTTCTTTAAAGACTATCTCTTTTTCTTTGGTATTTTATAATTTCACCATGATATGACAAGTGAAAATGTGTCATAAGGAATTAAATGATAGTATTTTTGAGTTACTAGGTTTAATTTCTTAATATTCTACTTCTAAGTAATGATTCGTGAGTGGTCTGTAAACAGATATGTAAGGAATTATATTTTATTTTTAAAAACCCTGTGGTGGGGATCCCTGGGTGGTGCAGTGGTTTGGCGCCTGCCTTTGGCCCAGGGCGTGATCCTGGAGACCCGGGATCGAATCCCACGTCGGGCTCCCGGTGCATGGAGCCTGCTTCTCCCTCTGCCTGTGTCTCTGCCTCTCTCTCTCTCTCTCTCTCTCTCTCTCTCTCTCTGTGACTATCATAAAAAAAAAAAAAACCCTGTGGTGAATACTTTTGGAGTACATGATTTTTAATTTTCAGCTTTATAACTTTCTTCTCAAGATCATGTGTATGCACATGATGTAACATGGCATAGTTTGCTTTCTTTATCTTTCTACAGCACTATTGGAAATAATTATGAAAAATGGAAGCACCGCTGGAAATAGCCCTCATTGCCGAAAACCATCAGGTTGTGGTGGTCAGAGCAAGCCTAATTGTACAAAGGACAGCACATCTGGTGGTAATGAAGGTGGAAAAGGCTACACCAAAGACCAAATAGATGGAGTTCTGAGGTAGGGATAAATATGACTTACATCTCAACTATAATTGATACTAATGTAATATTTTAATGTTATAACACCTAAAAATAAGTGTGTGAACTATAATTAAGTGAAAGAACAAACATGGAAGAATTGAACTCTCGGTATCTTATGCTTTATGTTATTTACCAACTCAATCTGTAAAGTACCAACTCTATGGAAGGTTCCATCTTTTAAATAAAAGTAACTATAAGGCACAAAGTTGCTTCCAGATATTTTTTTCTTGGGGAACATTATTTGAATTTTTTGACAAAGTATAATATGTAGATAACTATATTAAAAGAGGATAAAGAATTGTTTTGTCTTCTGTATATAGGAAAGTAGAATTTCACATGAGAAGAAAATTGAGGGCCATAGCAACAGCATTTTCAAATTCCTACTTGTGTTAATGTAGCATGGTTGTTGTTTTTTTTTTTCTCTTTTAGGCCATCTTTATATATATGCAAACATTATAATATCCTATTCTTTTAATATTTTTCTTACTCTAATGATCCTGCCTCTGTGTTTTTAGTTTTACCCCATGATACACTTCTACTTAAAGTAGAATTAGGTAGAGTTGGAAAATTGTGAACTGGGTCTTGGAAATCTGATGTAACTGATTATATAATTAAGAAAAGATTTTCTGGCAATAAAGTGAACCTTTGAGTATGAAACACTACAGAAAATGCTGTTTTGTTTTCTGCTACAACTTAGGGAAGCTGTATTTTATATTGTACTGATGTTCTCTAGGTAAACTAAAGTGTAAGGATGAAAAACTCTAAACAGTGGTTAATCAGACAATTCATATGGAGATTAAATTATAGTACAGAGAAATAGCTCAAGTGAAGAGTGGGTAAAACTAGATTATCTTTCTCTTTACATTTTCTTACCTATTTTCTTCTAATCTTACTTCTTTTTTTTCTCACCATTTTTCTCCATTGCTTTTTAGTTCATTCTTTTTTTTCTTACCATAATTTAGAATTGAATCATTTTAAATCAAATATCAGTGTATTTACATTTTTCTTCTTCCCCAATATATTTAGACACTAAAGCTTGATTGTAACATTTTTATCTGAGTATAACCACAGATCTTGGCATTTGGTGAGAAAAAAGAAAACATAAAAGACTCCCTAATCATGGGGAAGCCATGGTAAAGGGTATTTGATTAGCATGAATGATAGTGAAGCACTTTTGGGAAATAAGTAATTTTGCTAACTACTTTTATAGCTAGTATTGTGTCAGAGATGGCTGAGTAAGTAAATGAATAAATGAGAGACCTTTGAAGTTCTTCAAGATAAAGCTTTAATGAATAGTGTGCTGAAATGCATTCCAGGAAACCACATCTATTTGAAAACAAATTGTATTTTCTTGTAGAATTTACTTTCTATTGGGAGAGTATATTTTTACTAAAAGAACCAAATAAACTCAATTGTATTGTATATGATTTATATTTAGAAAAAAATATAGTTGAAAGTTCTGGAAAATAGGGATTTCCTAAATCTGGTGCTATTTTTTTTAAATCATCTTTTCTTTATTTCCTCTCGTCTCACCTTGAAAGGAAAAGAGGAGTAAATCAAGGTATGGTAGAAAGAAGGAAGGAAAAGCAGTGCTTTTGTTCTGCTATCTCTTATCTCTTGGAGTATTTTGAGAATGGAAGAATGACAGATGATGGCAGGTACAGATACACTTTGTATATGGCCAGAACTGGAAAGATGGAAACATGGTGTTGAGGGAGTTTCTGTCTGTTGGCTTCTATATTCTCTGTGAAATTGGAGATGAGGTTATCCTCTGAGAGTTAGGAGCAAAGAGATGAGATTGGAAGCTTGAGGAAGTTGTGAAAGTATGGAGAATTTACAGAGGGGTAAAGCAAAGGGAAAGGAAGGATTGCTGGTTAGCATTGAGAACCCAGCCAAGTTTGAAACCATGAATTCTTATTGGGTTTAAGTATTAGCTTAGTAGTATAGCTGTACTAGAAATTGTTTCTCTGGTCAATAATTTTATCCCTTTTTTATTAAATGCAGTTTTTTTCCTTTGAAAACTAAATGTGACTGAATGATTCTTTATTAGAATCCCTAAGTTATCAGAGTACTTCAGTTGATAACTTCTTTGAGTTGCTTAGCTGAAATATGTAACACTTACTCATTATATTAGCCTTCATAAGTGTTGCTTTAGTGAGGTAACAGATCACCAGCAAACACTTACATGCTGTATGTTTTGTTTTTTGTTTTACCTATACACAGGGGATTTTTTTCTGAAGAAAGCCATGTTATCTTGTGTTAGCAGGATTATGCAAACAAGTTGCTCAGTGACAGTTTGGCTCAATGGGAGAAGCCATGCAATAATACTGCATCCATTGCATAAGTAAGAGCTAGCTTACAATAAGACTGAAGTGTATAACTTTGTAGGACTAATAATATTCTGTGTAAATAAACACTGTTTGTTGTCTTTGAGTTGAAATATATTGAAAAATTATTGATACGTGTCAATAACTTAAAGTTATTGGATCTAACTTAAAGTTTTTACTTTCTCATTGAGAAAAAGGCCCATCTTTTACTTAAAAAATTTATAAATCAATGTGAAAGCATTAACTGGGGCATCGTACTATTTATCAATTAGGAACACTTTTGTACAATTGTGAAGTCATTTGAATTATGGGGATTTGATTATGATTTGATTTAAGCTGCAGTTCTTTAAATGAAAAGAAATTATTTTGCTAAACTTAACAAATAAATAATCCTTTGTCTCAGTATAAATATTTCCCTAAACACCAATTAAATTGGAGCCTATTTAAATGATCAGCTATAACATGCAAAAAAGAATTGAAAGAGGACTCTCCTGCCCTACCCACTATGCTTTCATGCACATAAAGGAAGACATAGAGGCTGAACTAGATGTACTTCTCGATTGTTGAGGCTGCAGTCTTTCTGGACTGGTTGTATAATGCTTCCTTCCAGAGTAGGTAATAGGTTACTTCTTTTTAATTTATTTTCTTTTTTATCTCTTTAAAAAATTATTTGGTGAAGATGGAGAAGAAAGTTTGAATCTTTCAGTAAGGAGTGAATTTTAAGAAGTATGACAAATGCATTTAATTGGTGAAGGAATGATGAACGAAAATATGAATTAAAATAAATATGTGAATGGTAATTTCTCATTCAGATGTGAAAAATTAGGTAAATGAGTACATTTAGAGCATTACCTGAAATATATAGTGGTCTTCAGCCTGTGCATTGATGATATCAACTTGATACCTTTCTGCTGGCTTCTCAAAAAATTTCTCCTCTAATATATGATGAAAAACTCAGTGCAGGGAGGATATGGTAAAACTAGCTATCCTTAAGAATTAGTGAAATAATTGTTTTCCTACCTTTTTTCTCTTTGTGACAGTTCTTTTCCTTTTTTTAAAGATTTTATTTATTTGAGAGAGCACATGAGTTGGAGGGAGGGGCAGAAGGAGAGGGAGATGCAGACTCCCTGTCTTTGTGACAATTCTTAGCTTTATGACCCATCTCTAGAGGATTGTGGATTCCAACCTAATTTCCCTACACTATCCAGCAGTCCTCTGTTGGGCTGCCTTTTTCTATTGCCTAGGCTTTTATGCTCAAGAAATCTCAACAAAACAATTTTACAGTTAATCTTGTGTATAATTAACCGTCTTATGCATGCAAACCAAGTAATAATGACTTTAGGATTGTTTAGTAGTTCTGTTGATCACTTCCTTTTGTTTTCTGCATCCAGATAGTATCTATCACATTCACAGCACTGTTCCTTGTCCTACAGTCCATTATCCTCTATTCCAAATTGACTTTTGGTGCCATCTATATTTTCAGTATAGCATTTATCACCTTTAACTTTTAGATCCTAACCATTTCTGCCCTCAAATGGACCCAGTCATCCATCTGTCTATCCATCATTCATCCATTCAATGCATATGATGAACAAGACAAAATCCTTGCCTTCAAGGGGCCTATAGTCTAGAAGAGTAGTCAGACATGATAGCTTCAGTACATTGTGGTCATTGCTAGGAGAGGGCTCAAGTCCAGAGGGCTTTGCAGGGGGTAATATAAGAGGAACACCAAACCTAGTCTTGAGGAATTAGAGTTCTTGAGAAAAGGGAAAGCTAAGTTGAAGACTGAAGAAGTTGTAGAAACTAAGCAAGAAGGAGGGTGGAGAAGGCATGTTTTGGGCACCAAAGTCAACATTTGAAAATAACTATGAGAGAAAAGTTTGTTTAAACACTGATTGGAAAAGCAAACAGAAAGAAAGAGATGTGTTACTCTGGTGTCTAAAGGGCTCCTTTTCCTTGTCTGGTTCTGAGATAGCAGGATTTTCAAGTCAGACTTCAGATTGGAATCCTTACTTGTGGGGCCTTTCCTAATCATCTTATTTAGAATAGGTGGCCTTCACATCCATTCTCTTGTCTCCTTTGTCACTTTAGTTTTCTCTAAATATTTATTTTCACAGGACGTACTTTATATTTTACTTGTATATTTGTTCATTGCTCATCCCTCTTCTGATTGTAAATTTAATGTGAAGAGGGATTTTTTTTTACTGTTTTATTTTCACTACTAACATCTGAAACAGAGTCTATCAGAAAGTAGATGCTCTGTAAATTTTTGTTGAGGAAGTAAATTTCAGTTCCCATTTATTACTTGGTTATAGAACTTTTGGCAACTTACTTAACCATTCAAAGCCTTGGTTTTCTCATTGGTTCTTATTGTCCTAGGAATAACATCTACCTAATGAGGAGTACATGAGACAATTTGTGTAAAATAGATAACATAATAAGGTTCTGTAGCTCTGTGTGAAATCTTTGTAGACCAGACGTAGTTTGGAATTCAGAATTGTTCCCATTTTAGAAAGGTAATAAGGAGCATGTATTATACATTACGTAATAACATTTAACATCTGGTGAGCAGCCCATAACCTAATAGTAACCTTTCTGCAGCAACTTGTACAAATATTCACACTTAAATGGGATAAGTGAAAATTCTGTAGCAGCTTCACGTCCATTCAGGACAAACTTTGCCTCTAAAAGAGTTCAAGTCAGGTTTTTGCAGTCAAATTATAGAATAACTCTCATTTTTCAGAGGTTTATGGATATGTGATTGTGGACCTGTGCCTGACACACAGTAGGTGTTCTATAAATGTCCCCTTTCCCTTTTTCTCTATCACATAGTTTCTAAACATATCTGGGAGAATGGGTCTCTACAAAGGCAGGAATCTCTACAAATGTTTCTGTTTTGTTCACTAATATATCTCAAGTGCTCAGAGCACCATCTGTGACAAAATTGGTGCTCAATAAATATTATTGATTAAATAAAGGAAATATCACGTTTATGAAATAAAGTTGACTGTGTTAATATTTATTAAATATCTAAAGCAGAAAAATCCAATTTTAATTGTTACCATGAAGAAGACTGCATAACAGATTTTTGTTGATGTATGATTATAAAAATTTTCTATAATCTTATACGTCTTCTCTCTCTCTCTTTTTTTTTTTACTTTGTTCATTTAACAAATGTTGGTACTTTTCATAATAAAAGGAGAGCAAAGGATCATTTATTCCAGAAATATTTACTGAGAACCTATCCTGTACCAAGCACTATTATGGCTTATAGATTCAATAGTAAAATAAGGTCAATCTTGTCTCTTTCCTTTGAGGACTTTGAGATACTCTGCAATTCCTTAGCTGCCGGCAAACGATTATGTCTAAGATCTTTTCACCTGTTACTACCTCAAACCCTCATACGTGGGACACATCTAAAGTCATCAAGTACTCCACAGAAAATGCTTAAAATAGTACAGTATTTTAGTGGAGGAAAATTATTAGGTTCGGGGAGAATATTAGCATTTGAAAGTATTAATGTTCTCTTCTCCATTCAGAGCATATTTTTTTTCTTAATGTACTTCCAAGACTCTGGGCTTAAATCTGTTAACATCTTTAGTTAGCTATGTAAATAATCTTTAAAAGTATGCTTATCATAATGAAAATTGGGTGTAAAAAGCATTTTTAAGTCCTGTGATACATATTATTTTGAGATTTTCTTTTCCTTGGACTGACGCAAATGAGTTCCCTTTAGTATAGTGGAGCTGAGTTAAACTTGCCTTGAGATTTAAACCTTAGGATACTTGTAGTTGTTTTACATGCACTAGCTTTGATATTTGGTTAGGTCTATGTTATGCGACAACTAAAATCTTGGGATGCAATGCATATTAATTAATCTTTAGCTACAACATACTTGTGAACAGTTTTGGAATTTCTTCGTGTACCTATAATACTGTAAAATTGTTCTCGCCCTCTCATTTTAGTTTCAGCATGTGCTCTGTTCTTAATCCATGGTTGTTATAGGCTTTGCCTTACTTCTCTGTAGTTGTGATAAAAAAACACCAAGGACATTCTCATGGCCAACTCTCCTTAGACAGGAAAGAGGTTAAAGGAATAGTCTGTGAGAATGAAGCAATAACCTTTAACAGGATAAGCTATCATTTGACACTGAGAAAACAATCCGCAGATAGTTCTTCCTACTATTCTTATAAATAAAAAATTAAAGATATTACATGAAGTTCTTCCTTGAAATTTGCATTGTAACACACTCTTTTGTTCACAGCATAAACAAATGTAAAAATTACTATGAAGTACTCGGAGTTACCAAAGATGCTGGTGATGAAGATTTGAAAAAAGCTTATAGAAAGCTTGCTTTGAAGTTTCATCCAGACAAAAACCATGCACCTGGAGCAACAGATGCTTTTAAAAGTAAAGTAAACCTTTTAAAGCAATTTTCCTAAGCTCTTTTTTGAATCCTACTTTACAGTGTTTTAGAATATTAAGTTCTGCTTTTAGACTGGTGCATTTAGAAGCCAGCATAAGCAAGATCCTCAAAATTCTTTAAAACTGTACTATTAATTTGTTATAAAATGCAGTGTGGCTTCACAAAAGCAAAATGCCAGTTTTGGCAAAGTCCTAAGCAACTTTTCTAGATAATCGTGCATGCTTTCTAGTTTACCGCATGCTAGTAGTGTGGTGATTACACATGAGCTTCTCGTGTATTGCCATCTGCTTCCAAAGAGAACTAAAACAAAATATAGCTTTTGCAAGTTTTTAGGATAGAGACTGTCTAGAATTGGGAAATTTGGATTGTCTGCCCGGTGTTCTTGTATTTCTGTTAACTGGCCAATTTTTGCATTTATTTATATGTGGTTCTAACAAATGTGATTTTTTTTTTCTTTTTAAGAATTAGTTTCTTTGGCTACCTGACTGGCTTAGTCAGTGGAGCATGTAGCTCTTAATCTTAGGTCGTGAATTTGAGCTCCATGTTGAGCATGAGCTTACTTTAAAAAAAAAAAAAAAGAATTAGTTTTTTTTCCTTTTGCCTACTATTCATTTTTCTTCATTTTCTTAATATAATTTTGAGGTTTTTGTCTCTGTCAATTTAGTAAATAAATGTCAGAGAGTTGATTTTATAATTTTGTATTTTGTCACATACAATTTCTTCATAATAGTTAACTTCTAATTTGCAGGAAAATGCTTATATTTGTGATTGTTCCTTCTTTTGAATTTGGCATTTATAGAGCCAACATACAATATTTGCAGTGAAGTGCTGGGGTCTTGGAATAACAGAAAGGAAATGCTAATTTTTAAAATGCTCCTGGGGTGCCCAGGTGGGTCAGTTGGTTAAACATCTGACTTTTGATTTCTGCTCAGGTCATGATCTCAGGGTCTTGAGATGTAGCCCTGCATCTAACTCCACCCTGGGTGTGAAACGTGCTTAAGATTCTTTCTCTTTCCCTCTGCCCTTCCCCACAACTCACATCATTTCTCTTTTTCTGAAAAATAAATGAATGAATGAATGAATGAATGAATAAATAAATAAATAAATAAATAAAATGCTCCTAAAAGATAGATAGTTTCATTGGTCTTTCACAAAATACTATTAAAATTGTTTCTAAAACAGTTTTATTTCTTGAAGGAAGTTGCCAAATAAAATATATTCTGGCAATTATTAATATGTTTCAATAAAAGCAACTGCCAAAGCGGTGCTGGTGAAAGTATAAAGTATCACTATGACGGGAGCCTTCTCTGTTTGTTACCTTAAAAGTGGCATGTTGAAAGTACAGAAAATGTTTCTTTACTCAAAAACACTAACTTTAACTAGCACATGTTCCCCCCCCAAAGTTAAAAAAATTTTTTTCACATTATGAATTAAAATCATTTAATTTCAAATTGGTGTTTTTATATAATGAAAAACATTTAAGCAGTGAGTTATTTTCATTTTTGTGATCTGCTAAGTGATTTCAGTATTAATTCTCCATTAATGTTAAAAATGTTAAACTGCTTCTTTCTCTCACTTCTGTATTGAAGTCATTTAGCATTATTAGTCTTGGAATAACAGTAAGTGGACCTACCAATATTTTTAGATCCTATGTATTTTGAAGAGGTGAGCAGCATAAATGTCACCCCAGCTAGACTTTCAGAAGGGCTTTACAAAGGTGATTACAGTTTGATGTGGTACATTTCAGAATCTGATGCTCTACTTTGCAAACTGGAAACAATATTTATCAACATGCTGGGAGGTTGTTCATCTCTAGAGAAGAGGCTCACATTATTCAATACACAGGAGGTTGTCTGTAAATCAGAATGCCAATTTATTAATCCCAAAGAGGATCAGAATAGGGAGTTGGTTGATGAGCCCATTTTTCATGGAGTGGAAACTACATAGAAAACTACGTTGTAATTCACAGATGCTTGGTGAGCAAAGGTACTTAATTAGAAAATATTACGGTTAGTGTCATCATTCAGAAATGGCAGGTTTCATTTATTCAGCATGCAGAGTCTTTTCTTTATCTTCTGAATCATTTTATTTCTAACCAACCAATCCTAACTTCTGTTTTTGGGATACCAAGCTGTTTATTTTAAGTAAATACTATAGTTTTTTTTTTCCTTTTGTATGAAAACTAAGTACAGATTGATTGCTCTGTAACTACTAAAACACTTTTTACAGAAGATCGAAACCATTTGCTTTTTATTTCCTCCAAGAATAGAAAAAGAGGAAGTAATTGGTTTAGGGAATTAAATTAGATAGGAAAGATATTTTCACTTGTGTTTTTGTTTTGTTTTGATTTTTAAATAAGCTCAATGCCCAATGTGGAGCTTGAACTCACAATCAAGAGTCACATGAAAAAAAAATGCTGAGCTGCCAGGTGCGCTTTCATTTGTGTGTTTTGTAAAGATTTAAAAATAAAAGGTTGCTATCAAGGACGATAGACTAAATAAACTCTTAAGTTCATATAGCTATTTGTCCTTTACAGTTAAGATTGTAACTCAAGTGTCTTGAAGCAGGGAATATTTTATTTACCTCTAGAGAGTGACTTGCACAATATATATGAACATACTTTTAAAAAATATTTGAATGAAATGGATCCCTTTCCTTCTATCTGACATGGACGTCTTCAAAATATACTTGGTCTACTTTATCTTCAAAGGCAAATACTTCAAAGTATTTCAGAGACCTTTTGAATGGTACCTGTGCCTATTCACATCAACATGAGAGTAATAACAAGGGGTGTGGATTAATTGCTTATATGTTTACTTAATAAATAATAATGGATCAGATAGTTTTACTTATGTTAGGTCTGGTAATTCAGTATTCCTAACATCTGGGCTAGTTTTTGTAGAGAAATACAAAAGGAGAATATGAGATATCCTCTTCCTCAAAGAATTTGAGAAGTGTCACACAGAATATTTGGAATAGTAGTATACATAACATTTGACAAGCATTTTATAGTTCTTCATTCCTATTTTTTCATTTAATGCTTATTAAAAATCTTATGAAGTAGTCAGGGGACTAGTGTCATCCTTCCTTTCCCCAGTAAGAAAATTGAGACTCAGAGAGATTAACTGATTTAAGGATCTCCCAGAAGACTGAATATAATTAAATACCAAAACATTGAATACAGATGTTTGAAGAAAAGTCAGAAAGATAAGATAGATTATAATCAGAGTAATCAGAGAAGCCTTTATGTAATAGGTGAGAATTAAGAGTTTTCTGGGCATGAGTATGATTTCCATGACTAGAGAAGAGAGAAAATGGCAGAAATTTGGGTATGAGAAGGAGGGAAGTGATTTAAAAATCAATGAGGAGTTCTACTTTCAGGAAGATGGAATAGATGTACTTTTCCCTATTCCTTGCACAATGTATAAAACTGAATATTACATATAAAACAAACATGATGGGACACCTGGGTGGTTCAGCAGTTGATTATCTGCCTTCAGCTCAGGGCGTGATCCCAGGATTTGGGATCAAGTCTCACATTGGGCTTCTCGTGGGGAGCCTGCTTCTCTCTCTGCCTGTGTCTCTGCCTCTCTCTCTCTCTTTCTCTCTCTCTCTCTCTCTCTCTCTCTCTTGCCCGCTCTCTCTCTCTCTCTCATGAATAAATAAATAAAATCTTAAAAGAAACATGAAAAAAAAAACCTTTGAAAGGTGGAAAGAAGAAGGTAGATGAGCTAGGGATCTTGGGACCCAAAGAACTACATGGCAGTAAGTTGCTTGGGTTTTCATTTGCCTTTTATATCTTAGACTAGGTACTGGAAAAGCAGACAACCCAGAAATACCAATAAGCACAGATAAACAATCCCCAAGAAAAGCCTGCTTTCTCTAGCTAAACAACCAGGAAGGGGGCAACCTGGTAAGACAGAAGAATTTTAAGCAATAACCATGCAATACGGCCAAATCCAAGAAAAAACTGTGGTCCTACCACACCCACATCAGCAAAGGCTGAGTAAAAACCCAGCCTGTTACCCTCTCTGGGCTGTAATAAGATGCCTACCCCCTTTACTGGGGTGTTAAGAGAGATGATCAAGCAGGGAGCTGGTACTTCTGCTTGGCAGTAACAAGGTGCCCTTTTCCCTCGTCATTGGGATAGTGTCATAAGTGACCTAGTGGAGACTCAGGACTCTAAGCACCATTTAGAGGCAAACAAAGCCATATCCTTGTGTTAGTGAACCTACCAGGGGTGGGAGGAGTAATGAGGCACCCCTACCTACTGTTTCCAGCCACAGAGATATGACTGGACACTTGATGGGAGACTAAGAATCTTATCCCCGCTCAGCAGTAATGAGCTCCTCTTTTCAGATGTTATCAGAGGCCAAGGGGGAAACCTGAACTTTTATTCCCATCTGGAACTAAAAAGGTGGTATTTCCTCTTCCTGTACCAGAATGTCCGAGGAGGACAGTTAAAAACAGAAGTTTTAGATAGGTTCAGAGTTTCATAAGATAATATCTCAAATGACCGTATTTCAGTAGAAAATGATTTATCATTACTAAGAACAAGGAAAATCTCAAATTTAGGAAGTCATAGATATCCACGTGGAGATGACAGAGAAGTTAGAAATGATTAACAAAGATTTTAAAGCATCCATCATAAAAATGCTTCAATGAGCAATTACAAATATGCTTTAAATAAATTTTGTAAAAGAAGAGTTTCAGCAAAGAAATAGGAAATCTGAGCAAATAAAAGGTATAAAGAATCAAATGGAAATTTTACAACGTAAAAATACAAAAACCAAAATAAAATCAAGCAATAAATGGAATAAACCGCAAAGTGACAGGAAAGAATCAGTGAATTGGAAAATAGAAAAATAGTATCTAATCTGAAAAGCTCCAGGGACAAGTGGGACCTGTAACAAGATTTAACATTTATATCATTGAGGTCTTAAAAGGAAAGGAAGAAGAGAACTTGGCTGAAAAAGTACTCAAAAATAAATAAATAAAGATTGAATACTTCCCATACTTGTCAAAAGATATAAACTTACATAATTCAAGAAGTTGAATGAACCCCAAACAGATAAACCTCCCAAAATTCACACAAAGACACATCATAGTCAAACTTTTGAAAACTAAAGATGAAGAAAATTTTGAAAGAATCAAAAGAGAAATGACACCTTACCTACTGGGGAAAAGCAATTCAAATGACAGCGAATTTCACATCAGAGACCATGCAGGCTGGGAGGCAATGACTCATTTTCTAAGTATCTTTTGAAAGAAAATAACTTTCGCCTAGAATTGTATACCGAGTAAAAACATCCTTTAGGAATGAAGGAGAAATCCAGACATTTTCAAATGAAAGTAAAAAGAGAATTTGTCATTGGCACACATACCCTAAAAGAATAGCTAAAGGAAGTTCTCTAACCAAAATAAAACAATAAAAGAAGAAATCTTGAAATATGAAAAAGGAAGAATATGGTAAGCAAAAAAATGGGTAAATGCAATATATTTTGTTTCTCCTCTTGAATTTCTAAGTTGTTTGACATCTGAAGAAAACTTTTAGCATTGTCTGTATGGTTCTAAATGTATGCCAAGAAAATATATAGGACAATTGTGTTATAAATGGGGACAGATAAAAGAAAGTTAAAAAAGTAAGGGTTTCATGGTATACTTGAACTAGTAAAATGATAACAGCAGTAGGCTGTGATAAATTGTGTATGTGTAATATAACACCTTGAGCAACCACTAAAAAGTTGTATAAACAGATGCACTCAGAAAACACTAAATAAATCAAAATGAAATTCTAAAATGTTCCACTCACAGGAAGTCAGGATAAAGAACAATAAGCAAAAAAATAAAATAGACATAAATTCTAACTTACCAATAACTACATTAAATGTATGTGATCTAAATATGCCAATTAAAAGACAGATTGGCAGAATGAATTAAAAAAAACATGACTATAAGAATTAAAAACGTTATATATAAGAAACACACCTCTTTTATAACAATACAGACAGGCTGAAGGTAAAGAAATGGAAAAAGATATATCATAAAACTTTAATTAAAAGAAAGCAAGGGGCAGCCCGGCTGGCTCAGTGGTTTAGCGCATCTGTCAGCCCAGGGCCTGATCCTGGAGACCTGGGATCGAGTCCCACATCGGGCTCCCTGCATAGAGCCTGCTTCTTCCTCTGCCTGTGTCTCTGCCTCCCTCTCCCTCTCTCTCTCTCTGTATCTCTCATGAATAAATAAAATCTTTTAAAAAATAAAAATAAAAAAAATAAAAGAAAGCAAGAGTGGCTATATTAATATTAGATAAAGTAAAGTTAGACTAAAAAAGTTACCAAAGAAGGAATTATAAGAAGATCAATCCTTCAAGGTAACATAACAATATACATGCGTTTGCATTAAAAAACAGATGCAAAATATGTAAATCAAAAACTGATAGAACTGAAGGCGAGATAGACAAATTCATAATTATAGTTGGAAACTTCAGCACCTCTCTGTCAATAATTGATAGAACAGCTTGACAGAAAATCAGGAAGAATATGGAAGAATGAAACATCATCATTACCCAACAAGCTCTAATCAATATAGAACACTCTATCCAACAACAGCAGATTATAAATTCTTTTCAAGTGCTCACAAAGCATACCAGATAGAGCATATCCTGGGTCAAAAAAATAAACCTCTACCAAACTAAAAGTCTGAAGTCATACGGAGTTGGTTCTCTGACCACAATGAAATCAAAGTAAAAATTAATGACAGAAAGATAATTGAAACATGTCTAATCACTTGGAAACTGGATAGCACATTTCTAAATAATATATGGGTCATCAAAAATTTTTTTAATGTTTGCTCTGCAGAAACCTTATGAAGAGGATGAAAAGACAAGTAACAAGGTGGGAGAGAATATTCGCCAAACATATCTGAAAAGGACTAGTATTTAGAATACAAAAAGAACTCCCCAAACTGAAAATTTTAAAAACAGACAATTCAGTTAGAAAATGAGAAAAAAACATACCACATAAGATGACATGCAGATGGGAAATAAGCAATTGAAAGATTTTTAACATCATTCATTAGCCATTAGAGATAAAGTAAAACCCATGAGATACCACTATGCACCTTTCAAATGGCTTAAATAAAAAAATAGCAACAACACCAAATAACTGGTATGGATGTAGAGAAACTGGATCACTCATACATTGTTGATGGGATGTGAAATGACACAGTCACTCTGTAAAACAGTTTGGCAATTTCTCAAAACTATTCAATTACCATACAACTTAGCAATTGTATTCCTGGGTATTTATCCTAGAGGCAAAAATTGATGTTTATGTATAAACTTGTACATGGATGTAAATAGCAGTTTTATTCATAATACCAAAAACTAGAAACAACCCAGATGTTGTTCATTGGGTGGACGGTGAAAGAAACAGTGGTACATCCATACCATGGAATACTACTCAGCAATAAAAAGGGTGGCCCAGGTTTTAACGCCTGCTTTTGGCCCAGGGCACGATCCTGGAGTTCCAGGATCGTGAGGCTCCTGGCATGGAGCCTGCTTCTCCCTCTGCCTGTGTGTCTGCCTCTCTCTCTCTCTCTCTCTCTCTCTCTCTCTCTGTCGTGAATAAATAAATAAAATATTTAAAAATAAATAAATAAATAAAAAGGAATGGACTACAGTAGCCCAACACACACACACACACCTTATTTTCAGGGAAAATGTTCCGAGACCCACAGTGGCTTCCTGAAACAACAGATAGTACTGAACCCTATATATACTGTTTTTTTTCCTTATACGTAAATACCTATTATAAAGGGTGATTTTTAAATTAGGATCACTAACATATTAACAATAATTAACAATAAAACAATAAAATAACAATAAAAAACAATAAAACAATTTTAAAAAATTAAAAAACAATAAAAATTAACAATAACAATAATATCACTAGAGACTATCTGGATCCATTCAAAAACAAATTCAGACTTTATTCTGGACCATGGGGATGGATATTGCAGTGAAAACATAGATACCTTCCCTATCCTCGTGGAGTTGACAGTTTCAAGAGAAACAAATTATTAATGAATAAAATGAAAGATAGTTCACTCTGGGCTAGAGTATATAAAAACAGGTTTACAGTAAAGGTTGCATAGAATATACCTACTATCCTGAAAAAAATTTTTGACCTTGAACAAGTATCTTTTTTTTTAATTTTTTATTTATTTATGATAGTCACAGAGAGAGAGAGAGAGAGAGAGAGAGAGAGGCAGAGACACAGGCAGAGGGAAGCAGGCTCCATGCACTGGGAGCCCGACGTGGGATTCGATCCCGGGTCTCCAGGATTGTGCCCCGGGCCAAAGGCAGGCGCCAAACCGCTGCGCCACCCAGGGATTCCCTTGAACAAGTATCCTAACCTGTTTGAGCCTCAGGATGCTCATCCATACAGTAAGGATAATAATGAATAATGAATAATGTAAAAATATATTGGGTTCAGAGTATGGTAGTTAGTAGCTACTGCTATTATTATTGGTTGGAGTAGCACTAATGAATGAATAGATTAGGATATTCAAAAGAAGAAGTAGGGGATCCCTGGGTGGCGCAGCGGTTTGGCGCCTGCCTTTGGCCCAGGGTGCGATCCTGGAGGCCCGGGATCGAATCCCATATCGGGCTCCCGGTGCATGGAGCCTGCTTCTCCCTCTGCCTGTGTCTCTGCCTCTCTCTCTCTCTCTCTCTCTCTCTCTCTCACTATCATAAATAAATAAATTAAAAAAAATTAAAAAAAGAAGAAGTAGGATATTAGAGGATAGAGCACAATCACAATAGTAAGAAAGCAAGATGAACATTCTTTTACGTTAAAGATAGTAGGAAGACTTACCAGTCTCATATAAAAATCTATATTGGGAGGTAATAATATGTGTAATTGCAAGTAGTGTATAAGTTTAATGTAGAAACCTTTGTTTGGGGCTCCTGGGGGGGGGGCTCAGTGGTTGGGGCTCTGCCTTGGACTCGGGTAGTAATCCTGGGGTCCTGGAATGAGTCCTGCATCCAGCTCTCCGCAGGGAGCCTGCTTCTCCCTCAGCCTAGGGCTCTGCCTGTCTCTTAGTGTCTCTAATGAATAAATAAAATTAAAAAAAAAAAAAAACACCTTTTTTTAAGGAGGGGAGGGGCAGAGGAAGAGGGACAGAGAGAATCTTAAGGAGGCTCCAAGCCCAGCATGGAACCTGCCTCCAGGCTCAATCTCATGACCTTGAGATCATGATCTGAGCCAAAATCAAGAGTCTGAAGCTTAACTCAATGAACCACCCAGGCACAGCTAATGTATAAACCTTTATAAAAAATTGTTACTATTTTACTTTTTTTTTTTTTAATTTGTCTCAGGTAGGATTTGTTTGGTTTTTTGTTTTTTTCGTGAATATGACAGTAGCTTTTATAAGGGGAAGTCTTTTTATAATGTAAAAACTTTGCTTACCAACTTTTACTCATTACCTTTTCAGAGATTGGAAATGCTTATGCTGTTTTAAGCAATCCAGAAAAAAGAAAACAGTATGACCTCACAGGCAATGAAGAACAAGCGTGTAATCACCAAAACAATGGTAGATTTAATTTCCATAGAGGTTGTGAAGCTGATATAACTCCAGAAGACTTATTTAATATATTCTTTGGTGGTGGATTTCCTTCAGGTATTTTAATGTTAGTTATAAATATTCTATTTTATGAAGCTAGAGATTTACACCTCCAGTTAGGCTATTTAGAGATTTGTCAACCTTCTCCCCTACATTTCTTGTAGTATTATGCTCATCTGATGATTTTTCATGAAGGTGAAAAAATGTTAGCCTTACTACTTTGACTGTAAGTTTGCCTTTTTTCTATAACATGTTTTAATTTTTTAAAAGAAGAAATGAGTACAGATATTCTCTATTTTATATGAAGCTAAAGAAAGGATGTATAAGTAGGAAATCCAGTGACAATATCTTAGTTAAGTGCTATTACAATTACAGGAGGTATCCTGTACCCTAGATGACAATTTGACATTGGTTCTCTGAAGATCATTGTAGGCATTTCATTCATTATAAATTGCTAATGTGAATGTATATGGAGGTAGTACTTTCCATTGAAATATTAAAATGTCTGATTCATAGGTTATATATAAAGTAGTGGGGTTTTAAAATTAAAATAGAAATAATTAGTTGAACTAGGCCATCAAAGTAAATATGGTAGAATTACTACTAAATAGATTTTATAGTACCAGCGTAAGTAGTATTGAACTCTACTTATATTTACTATGGGTTATATGAAAATTAATTTTCTTTAAGAATAGCTCTTATAAGGTAGTTAAAATTATAGCTCCAGTCATATTTACAACATTTAAGTGCTAAGTTAAACATTCAATTCAAAATTAGGAGAATCTTTATGAATGTACTAATATACTTTGGTCTGATGATGCTGTCTGAATATTATTGAGCAAGATTGTGGTCATTGATAGGGCATTTTGTAAAGCATCCTTCATGGAAGGAGAATGTATAAATATAATTTAATGACTGAAAATACAGCATGTATTTTGACATATTAGGGTATATAATTACCTCTCAAAAAAATTATTCAGACTAGTAATTTTGATGGAGAATATGCTAAGAACAAATCTTTCAAGTAGTAGTGAATTTTCAGGTAGTTGAATTACAGTTCTTGTTTTAACATAAGTTGCTTTGACATGGTAGCTATTTCTGATTGCTCATCTTATTTGAAAACAACCTGAAAGTCCTTCAGAAACTGAATGTTTGAATAAATTGTGGTCTACCCCTGCCATAGTAGATTACAGAGTATATTATACTTGTTTTTTTTTTAAATGAATGAAAGCACTATTTTGATTTCCAAAGGTATTTGTGATTTGTTGATAAATGAGGAAGGCAAGAATTTCAGAGTGATGACCCAAGATTTGTAAAAACAATCAACTACAACAAAAGTCCTCTATGGATGCAATATTAGGCAGGAACTCTTACTCATGGTTTCATAAAGAAAGAACTTCTACTTTTAAATTCCAGTTCGGTAACATACAGTGCAGCATTGGTTTTAGGAGTAGAATTCAGTGATTCATCACTTACGTGCAACATCCAGCTCATCACAAGTGCCCTCCTTAATCCCCATCACCCATTTAGCCCATCCCCCATCTTCCTCCCTGCATCAACCCTCTGTTCTCTGTCATTAAGAGGGTCTAGTGGCTTGTTTCCCTCTTTCTTTTTTCTCCCCTTCCCATATGTTCCTCTGTTTTGTTTCTTAAATTCCACATATGAGAACTTCTACTTTAAAGAAAGGAAAGTCTGGGGAGAATCATTTCTGTTTCTACTTTTTACTCACAGAGCAATAAGCATTCACTACTCAAACATGCATTATTATAGTAATTTTTAAAAATTAAACAAGAATGTAAAAGAAAATATGATTTTTCTGATCACAGTTGCTCTCCTTAATTTAGTCTTGCTTTTAATTTTTTAGGTAGTGTACATTCATTTTCAAATGGACGAGCTGGTTATAGCCATCAACATCAGCATCGACATAGTGGACATGAGAGAGAAGAAGAAAGAGGAGATGTATGTTTATGATATGATTAGAAATCTCAAAATGGCAAAATTTCAGCTCAGAAAAAGCAATTAGAATTATCTAAAAATAGGGGAAGTTATTTTAAAAGGAAGTAATGAGTTTTCTATTACCAGAGGTATTCAATAGACTGGACAGTCTCTTAGGGATATTAAGGGAACAAGGGTAGAAGTCAAGCTGGAGGGTGGTGGGCAAAATGACACCTTAAGTTGGTGTTCTGTGATTCCGATGAAGAATATCCCTGTGATACACACGCTTTGAAGACAAGTTCTCATGTTGGTCCTAAAACATTTAGAATTAGTACTAAAGAACTTAAATTGATAGTTACTTTGCTTGTTCTAATGCAGTTATACCTAATTGCATGTTGCCCTTAAATTACATGGAGTAGAAAGGTAAATGGAAAGAACACTAGACTAAAAATTGAAAAGCCTGGGCCCCCACTCATCTGCTTCCACATACCATCCTCAAATTCAAGGGAATGCTAGATTTGCAAGATAAATAGAGAACTTCCTCATCTGTAACATGAGATCAGTTTATATCAGTGTTTTCCAAATCAGGATCTCTACATAAAGCACCTGGAAAATGATATTTTTAAGACTCACTCTAGGAAGCTGGTATGATCAGGGAGATTTTAAAGCACTGAATCAGATGATCTCAAATGCCCTTTCTGCCTCTAAAAATATATGACAACTGTTGGATTATTAACAACTACAATTATATTACAATTTATTATTTTTTGATGATTTTTTGTAGGGAGGTTTTTCTGTGTTTATCCAGCTGATGCCCATTATTGTATTGATCCTCGTGTCATTATTAAGCCAATTGATGGTCTCTAATCCTCCTTATTCCTTATATCCCAGATCGTAAGTAGCTAAGTGAAGTTTTAAAAAAAATTGTTTCTTATCTAGCTTCTTTTAAAGGGCTTTGTGCTCTCTTCAACTTTTAAGTAATCTTCTATTACTATATCAGATTTTAAAATATCTAATTTAAAAAATAGTTACTCAAGTAATAAGTTTGTATTATATTGTTAGTTTTCTGTTCCGTTGTGGATAAAGACAGAAGTACTATATTTGAATCTGATAGCAATTTAATATGATAGGTAGTGTGTTGAATTCACAGGCAAAAAATAGTTTAAAAGACAAAAATACTTGAAAGACAAAAGTAGAATTGTAATTGATGTTACATAGACTTATATCATTGAGGGGTAAATGACTACATTCTTTTGTTTGTAAATATCGGTTAACTAAAAGCAAATATTACTTTTCTCTTATATAAAATGTTTTTCTACAATGTACTTTATATGTAAGAGATCAGGACAAAAAGGAAATTTAACACAGCATCCATTCTAGACAACTTTAGTGTAATACAGTGAACATAAGGGAAACTTAGTACAATCATAATTGGCAGTGATTTTACAGTATTAAAAACAAATTGATCTAAAAATAAGAAATAACTTTTTATTTCTCCTAAATAAGATTTTTATTAACTAAAAGTTGAAAGAACTTATAAGAACATATTGTATTAACGAAATTACTTTTTAATGACATGAATGGTGGTTTTAGGCAGTTTGAAATAATGTAAATAAATGATTACCAATATTAACTTTTTAAATTTTTGTAATTTTTTTTGTTAGCTTGGTTTGTAGTAGCAGGATCAGAATGTACAATTTTCATTAAAAATAATGATCAAGCATTTCTTTTACAGTGGATCAGGGCAAACTATTAAAATGCAAACAGAAAACTTGGGTGTTGTTTATTATGTCAACAAGGACTTTAAAAATGAATATAAAGGAATGTTATTACAAAAAGTGGAAAAGAGTGTGGAAGAAGATTATGTGACTAATATTCGAAATAATTGCTGGAAAGAAAGACAACAAAGTAAGTTAATTAAATGTTTAACATATAAAAATTTATTCAGAGTCTTTGGAATTGATTGATTATTGTAGGTTTCCCTATTCAAGAAAGGTTCTAAAATTGCCTGGCACATAATTGGAGCTCAAAACTTAAAATGTTTTATGTGGCCTTATAACAGTGTTTGGCACATAGCAAGCACTTGTGATGTTATCAATAAGTATTTGGTTGAATAAGTGAATAATACTAAATTTCATTGTATTTAAGATGTTGTCAATTGTAACATGCATTATTATCGTAGCACTAAGAAAGAAAAAATTCTGGCACATTAGCTGTATCATCAGTTTTAATATGCATCCTGTTTCAGAGTGAAGTTTGAAACTCTTCATTAATTTATCTTCAACATTTAACACTTAGTGTATAATGAGTTCTGTTGACATTCCATTTTCCTTTGTTTATTCTGTACAAAAAATCTTAGGGAACACTTAATCAATTTGTTTGGCATTTTCCATCTTCAACTTCCTTAACTTAAGAAGCAGTTCCACCTATAAAAGTTTGACCATAAGAATCTACAGAGATGCATGTGAAGCAAGTGTTGTTATGGTTATTGTTTTTCTGACTGTTACAAATAATAATGTAGACAATACAGTGTAGACTTTGGAATTAAACAGACTAAAGCTGAAACCTCACTCTGGGATCTTTAGCTGAGTGATTAGGGCCAAATATTTTAACATGTATGAGTTTACTCCCTCGGGTGTAAAATGGATGATGATGATGAGTGGTAGGAGGAAATAACTGTCACATATATAATACCTATTATTTCAGTCACTGTCCCAAGCACTTTACATATGTTAACTTATTTAATCTCCACAGCAATACTGTAGAGTTATACCCTTTTTATATATAAGGAAACTGAGGTAAAGAGAGTTTAGTAACTTACCCAGGGCCATAGAGGGTGTCCATGATTCAAGCAGTCCATTTGTCTCCAGAATCCAGGCACTGTGTGCCACAATTTTCTCAATAATACCCAGCTTTGCCAGTTTGTTGTGAAAATTAAATCAGACAATAAAGTGTTTTACATGTAGTAAAAGGCCCAGAAAATGGTAGTGGTTATCATCATCTCATCTACTAGGGAAAATTTGATAAAATATAACTTTTGTATACTTCCAAGAAAGTTCACATCTCTGACCTTGGTTTCCTCATCTATATTCTATATAGTGGTAGTTAAAAGAGATACAGCCTCCTTGGTGTCTCAGTCTCTGAGTCGGTGAAATCAGTGTGGAGAAGGTTGCATTAGACTAGTTGTCAACCGGGAAAGATTTGCTCTGCTTCATATCACTTCTGGTAATGTCTGGAAACTTTTTGTGTGTCACCACCAGTTGGGGATGGAAGAGATTGCTGCCTGCGTATAAAGGATTGAGGCTGGGGTGCCGCTAAACATCCTGCAATGCACAGGACAGCCCCCACAACAAAGATTTACCTGGCCCAAAATGCCGACATTGCTAAGGCTGAGAAATTGCGTTAGCAGAAGGTCTTAAGGGCAGTGGATACCAAATTTTACTTATTTCATTTCGCTTTTTGATGTCTAGTGCCTTACACAGTCCTTGGCATATCATAGGCATATGGTAAACTTTCAATGGATATAGGAATAATTGGTTGAAGGATTACCGAATTCATAAAAATGAATAGGAAAGACTTGCTTGTTTTGTGTTAAAAGAATGACTAACACATTAGATATATCACCTTTCAAATACAAATTCTAATCTTCAGCCAAATATGGGCAATTTTTGGATTATGTATACTTACATTCTATTACCTTAAATAATTGGGAAATCGACTATACAAATAGAAAGAAGGAAGGAAAATATATTCATATTTATGGAAGATAGTGTAATGTTACAGCTAAAGTGCAGGCTCTGGGACTGCCTTGCAAGACAAGATCCTGGTTCCACCAACATGTTGCCTAGGCCAAGTTAGTTAACCTTTCTAAATCTCATTTATGTCATCATTAAAATGTGGACCATAACAGATAATACATGTTAACACTTAGCATAATATCTTGCATCAGTAAGTGTTCAATATTTTTACTTACTATAATGTAATTATTTTTTTTCCTATCCATACCATAAGCCAAGTGTTTTTGCTTGGCATACTTAATCTTTTAATCATCTGGCAAGATTAATATTAAAGTTTCACAGGCTTTCAGTCTGTGTTTATGATACGAAGTTGTCTACAGCTGTATTGTACACTGTTATATGTGTGTCTTTTAAAGTTACTATCATAAGTTTTAAGTGAATCTGATTTTAATAAGTCATTATTAAAAAACAACTTGCTGATGTTCAAGAATATCAATGGAACAAGACAAAACTCTTAAAGACTAAAAAGAAATGACAGGTACAATGTGTGATCCTGAGTTGGATCCCAGATGGGGAGTGGAGGAAATGGCTATAAAGGACATCATTGGGGCTGCTGGAGAAATGTGAATATGAACTATATATTAGATGATAGAATTATAGTTGTTAGATTTCTGAATTTGAAAATTGGGGTTAGGTAAGACAATGCCCTTGTTCTTAGGAGAAACATGCTGGAGTAATTAGGAATGAAAAGTCTCAAAAGGTTTTACAAAATAATAACCACTAGCACCACCACAACAGCCTTTATTACAAGAGAGAGCTGAAGCAAATTTGACAAAATGTGAAAGATTGATCAATCAAGATGTAAAGGGTTTTAGAGTGTTCATTTTAGTACTCTTTTGTGAAGGTTTGAAATTTTAAGATTTATTTATTTGACAGAAGGGGAGAAGGGGAGCATGGTGGGGGGAGGGGCAGAGGGACAAGCGGACTCCCTGCTGAGCACAGCTCTTGCAGGGCTCCATCCCAGGACCCTGAGGTCAGGACCTGAGCTTAAGTCCAATGCCTAACAGACTGAGCCACCCAGGTATTCCTTGAAATTATCAAAATAAAACTTAACAAATTCAGCACATCTAGAGGTTAGGGGTTTTAAATGAAGATGAAAGTGGAAGGAGCTCAGTATAATGTTAATTAATCCACTGATTGAATGTTTTACTTATTAATCAGGATGAACTCACCTTGTTTTATAAATTAATGTCATCAAAAAGGTTGTTGGCCAATTGATTTTTTTTAACCAGGGTTTTTCTGTTTTGCAGTCATTTCTAACACTCTCTAATGTCTATATTGATACAGTAGGCATTTTATAAGATACAAGCAGTAATTTGAAGTAATGGAAAGAATGTTAAGCTAGGAATTGGAAGTTTGGCTTGGAATCTAGACCGCCATTGACTAGCTCTGTGAACTTCGGTTTATCTACCTCATCTGGGAAGATGCATCTGCAAAAGGATTTTACAAGTGCCTCACTTGTAAATAAAGGGGATGGAGTGATTTTGATTGTTAAATCCTAGCTGGATTGACTGAATACAAGGTCATTTATGAAGATCTTTACAAATAGAATATACTCTTGCTGTGAGTATATTTTGAATGTGGTGCTGACAGATGTCCTTTACTTTGGCCATTGTTTTCCAGAAAGTAACTGACTTTTTTCTGTGTCTGGTTACATATTTTCTAAGTGCCCCCACCCTTTGGAAGAGTTACTGAAAGGTGAAATGACTGAGAGGAACAGAAAGATAGCAAGGAATAGTTCTCTAGAGATTTATAGTCCGTTTCTTTTTCCTTAATAATGCTATCCACATACTGAAAGAAGTCTCAGAAGTACTTATTTGCTAAATAACACTACAGTGATTCTATAGCAAACTTTTTTCCCCTTTTGTGTTCCTTCAGTAAGATTTTCTTTCTTTTTTTTTTAATTCAAGCAAATTCAGGGCAAGATTTCAAACTTTTCTACTCAAGTCGTGGCATAATTAATTCACCTGAAACCTTAACAAGAGGTCACAGCAAAAACAACCACCAGCAGGATTGAATAGCATATGATATATCTTTAGTATGCAAGGTCAAAATGGTGCTTTAGAGCAGCAGTTTTTAAACTTTTGAGGACAGGAGTGAGGGAAAGAGTGGATAGGATTTTATTTTCATTTCTTTCGCAGATTAGCTCTGTATTTGTTTTAGATACTAGGCTTCCAAAGGCTTTTAGGAGTAATACTTGGATTTCTTTCTTTTTAAAAAAAGGTCAATTATTAGAAATATATTGAAGGGCTTCTTTAAACATCATTTCAGCTTAAGTAACAAGGTAACCTAAATTATTATCTAGTAAGCAAAATATTTTGGTTTGTTAACAGAAACAGATATGCAGTATGCAGCCAAAGTATACCGTGATGATCGGCTCCGAAGGAAGGCTGATGCCTTGAGCATGGACAACTGTAAAGAATTGGAGCGGCTGACCAGTATTTATAAAGGAGGATGAACTGGGATTGTATTTATAACTTTTAGCATCCTCTTTATTTTTTCTGTAAGTAAGTTTCGTTTCGTCCTGAGAGCTAAAGAAAAAGATTGTATGTTAAAAACTAAACTGCATAGTTGGTCCCTGAAATCTTGGACTGTTTAAGACCTACTGGCTCCTTTGAATAGTAAGGAACTGAAAACTAAAATTAATATTTTAGTTATGCTTCTGGCAACTATTTTCATTTTAAAAGCGTATATTATTCCTAACTAAAAATGTCTTGAGAAAGGATTATCACACCTGTAGCAGTTTCCAGTTTTAGTGATTCTCCACGTTTCCTTTGGTCATGTAAATATTTATGGAATGATCATTTTGTATATGGGTTACTGCATTTTTATTTAAATTCTTTTAGCATTTAACTCCATGAGACACTTTAGTTTAAACTGATAGAATAAGTGTTCTGTGACAAAATTACATTTTTCTTGTCAGATGTTGAATGTTTGTGAAGTTTAAGCAACGAAACTTTTTCAAAAAGAAAAGAAAAAACAAAAAAGCTGTTTAACTGTGTAAATCTTGTAGCATTATCAGCTTAGAGGGAATTGATATTTTTAATATTGCCATTATAATCCAGAATATATATTGAGATAAATGAACTGGTGTAGAATATCAGTTTGCTATTTAGTTTTATGAATTGCTAAGCCATGCAGAGAAAAGAAATGCTTTACTGATAGATTTTAAAGAAAATATGAGGAGATGGCTATGTAGATATTAAACAAAAAGGGTCTTCAACAGTAAACTGCAGTTATGTCATTTCCAATTCTAGTAATTCAAAGGCTCCCAAATGTTTATATGTCTGTCTTTGAAGGCTGCTATGATTCGTGAAGAAAAGGACCCACCTGTTTTGCCCCCATGGAAATTTTAGTTTCTTCCTAGTGATCATTTAAGCAGGACCCAAAGTTAATGGGTTCTTCTACAAATGAGTAATAAGAGAAAAATACTACTAAAATGAAGCTTTGTGCCTTTTTAACCTGATTGCCAACTCTTAAATATATAAGTAGAGTACAGCACACTACTTGATCAGAGCATGATCTGTTTGGCCACATGCAACAGTGAGCAGAAATACGGCAGCAGGTAGGTAGAATAGTGACTTTATAGCAAGTCATCCTTATAAAATTCTGAGCTACAAACTATTCACCATTGAGTCATTCAATTAATCTTATAGGAATAAGCTCTCTCTAATTCAATCCATAATATAAATTAGAAAAGTAAGCTGGAAATTGAAGTTCTTGGTGCCTGTATATTCAGTATGAAACTATTTGATTTCTAGTCTTCTATGTTTAGCAGTTGTAATATTTTAATGATTTTGCTTCATACTCAGTTAATGGGACACAAATGCATCTTTGGTAGTTTTTTTGTGTGTGAGAGCGTGCTAGTTTGAGTGGCTCTGTTCTTCTGTTTAAAGGTTTTTGTTGTTGTTTCCTGACTGTAGTTGATTTTATAGCATCTGTTGAATAAAACTGCTAAAATGACCATTCTTTTTAAAATGTACTCTTGTATCCTCTTTTCCAGGTGAATCAGTAGAAATATCTGAATTAATTAATGAGTTAAACTAAACAACCTACTGCCCTAGGAAAACTGGACAGCTTCACCAGTTTTATTTTACAAATGTGACTTTTAAATTAAAAAAATAGCAGTGCTTAAAATACAAATTAAATCTGTTCTTGAGCCTGCAGAATGAATTTTTAAAAAATAAGGTCATAACATTCTAATTAACTCTGAAAGTTCATATACATCAGAAAAATTACAAAAATTTGAATGAAATAATTTAATCCATTCATTTTTCCAGTTTTATTTTTTTTTAAAGATTTTATTTATTTATTCATGAGTATACACAGAGAGGAGAGAGAGAGAGAGGCAGAGACACAGGCAGAGGGAGAAGCAGGCTTCACGCAGGGAGCCTGACGTGGGACTCGATCCAGGGTCTCCAGGATCACACCCCGGGCTGCAGGCAGCGCTAAACCGCTGAGCCACCGGGGCTGCCCCATTTTTCCAGTTTTAATGAGAAATCTACACTATTGTGATTGACACTAATGTGAATCGAACTCTTTTTGAGTGATTCTTTTTCCCTTAATCTTGGCTTTAAAGGGATAGATGAAGTTACCAAGTTAAGTGAAGTTATATATTATGAAGTCATATATGGCTTTTGGACAGTATTATATTTCAGTTGCATTGCTGCATTTCATCACATTTCATAAAATGACGGGGAAATGTGTTTGATAAAATCAAATTTTCAAACAACTATGTGAAATAACTGATTGAGTGCCTGATAATTTAAGCCACATATAAAGTATGCAAGGAAATATTAAGTCCTTAATGTCATCCATATTTTGGTGAGAAGGTCCAACTAAGTGTCTTAGAATTTTGGGTTAATTCTACAAAGTAAGAAGATATGAACTATCTTGAGATGTAAGATTTTCATGTTTGCTACTCTTACGATAAAAATCTCAACATTTTACCATCTTATTTTTACTACACAAGCTTTGCAATTTCATTTGATAACTTGTACTGTTCATTTTAACCATTGCCTGAAAGCTCTCAATCTTTGAGTAGTGCTTTACTAGCTTTTCTAACTGATATTTTAGAAGTTTGGTAGCAACTATATTTATTAATGCTTTACATTTTTATCTTTTTACACATACATATAAACATTATCCTTGTGAGGATTTGGGATAAAGTAGATAGTATCTTTTCTCCTCCTGTTTTGATTCCTTAGTTCCCAAGTAGACTGGTGCTAGTTGCTTATAAGGTTGAGAATTTATTTTGATCCAATCTGAGAATTTCATTCTCAATGAGAAAATTCAAATTTAATCCATGTAATAAATAAAAACAATGTATTTTAGGAACAGATTGCATTTGAATGCTTAAATAAGTATTTGTTTCAAAATCACTGCATTTTTCTTTATAACTTACAGAAATTTGGTAGAGAAGAATAAATCCTTAAAGCAAATGTATGCCAGTGCATTACACCACTCTGCTTTCGTGTCAGCTCAGGTGTTCACAGGAACAGAAATGTGGAGTCCCAGCCCTTTACTGTGATTGCACTTTTAAGCCTAAGTTGTCTTCCTTTTAATTCTTCAGTTCCACTAGTATGTAAAATAGTGTATAGTGAGAAAAATGGTTACCTTCTTAATTTCTTTTTGACCTTTAATGGTTTTAAATGCAGCTGTTACTTAATAACTGTGACATATTATTCATAATGTTTTCCCATATATTTCCTTAAAAAAAAATCTACCTGTGGTAAGGCAGTGAAATATTTTTTGATGTTGACCTGAGAACCAAATGAGCCATCTTGCCAGTTAAGTAAGTGTTATGTCAAAGGACCCTATGGTTCAAAAGGAGAATCTGTGTATTCATTTAGCTTCCCTAAATGAAGCTTAGGCTTAATACTACCCCTTTTACCATCTGTCTTCATCCTGAGTGAAACAGACCAAAAGAGCATTCATAATCTTTTCTTGTCTGAACAGGAAAACTTCTGAAAATGAACAATAAATCTGAATTTTAATCTTTACTAAATAGCTAAAAAAAACTGTACCTGTTAGCCCGTTGGACTATGCCTGAAGTCCATAAAATTCTCTAAACCAATGAAAAAGTAAAGAGTAGTGTAACAATAATGTACAAAACTTTTTAAATTCTAATTTGTAATTACAAAGAAAAAGTGAGTAGAATGAGAATCTTTAAAGAATTCTTGCACGTCCCTTTAATAATCTGACAGGCAACACAGTCCTAGAATTCAGGCTTCCTTTTTGGTTTCCATTACTATTAAATAGACTTTCATATAAATAGAAACATTTTCCCTCAAAACATTAATTCAAAACATACTCCTTATATTAAGGATTCTATAACCATGTTTTTTGTAAGTGTCCTATGTGTAACTTTTTCCTGTTGGTACTTGATTCATTCTCATTTAATTTTATTATCTGCTGGTTTTGGGGCCAATGGACTTGTGAATATTCTGTGATGTGTCCATGTATAGGTGTGTATATATATATACATATATATATATTTTTTTCCAGCTAATACCTCAAATGTGTGATTGTTTAATATATACCACACTATGTTTGCACAGAGCAGGGCTTCCATTAGCAGTGGATATTCTCATTTCTAACTTTGAAAATCATTCCACAGAATTCTGTTGGTGTGAATTCTTCCCATTGATCATTTTCAAATTTTAAAGCAGAGATTCCTATTAGAAGGCCCATATTTCAAATATAATTGTATGTTTCTGTACCTAGCAATGGAAATATGTAGGGGTAAGAAGTGTTTCTTGAAGTGTCTAGTTTAGTAAGTTATTATTAACAATTGGGATTACTGGGTTGCCCAGCTGTCTGGTAACTGCTCAGCAATGACAACCGGCATGATTTTGAGCAAATCTCCTTCACTTTGGCACAGGAGTCGGGACATTCCAGGCTCATTCTACTTTGCCATTTAAGAGTACCACTAAAATAATAGAGGTTTTCCGGTGACACTGGAGTATTTTAAGCATCGATTTCAAAATGAATTGTTTTTGAGTTGGCTGACTATACCAACGAGAAGAAAGAAACTCCACATAAATTATATTTTGTAACTTATTTATATTAAGAAATGCTTCTTACCTATTTTTGTTTTCATTTTTTTGGATGGCTACATAAGACTTTCTTCCATTTAAGGTTTAAATCATGTATTGTTTAAAAGCTGCAGGTAATTTTCAAGGTGTGATGAAATTTTAATGGAAGCCTTGTACCAGTTAAGTGAAACTGGCAAAGGAGATCTTACTTTGTCTATAGTGCATTCAAGATTATACAATTAGGTTTAAAAATGTCTGATTTGTAAAATACTTAGTGTTATATCAGACTTATAAAATAAAATTTTCTGTGTGAGAACTCTGTTAAAGAAAATGCATTTGATTTTTAATGAATGTTCTGCTGAATGATTTGTGATGAATTTTTGTCTTTCAGTCTCTGCAGTTTATCTCAATATATGAATAAAAAGAAGGTCTGTTCTCACTGTAAAGGATGTGTTTTTATCATCTTTTATATTCTTAATATGCACTTTCTTTCATTCACTAAACCATTCAACAAATGTATGAATGCCTGCTTTATCCTAGGCAGTGAGCTGAGTGCTGGGAATTAATCACTGAACAAGACAGAAATCCTTATGGAGTTTACATCTAGCCAGGAAAATCAATGTCAAATAAATAACTAATTATGATGAATGCTACAAGGAAAATTACAAGGTACAATGAGAACATATATCTGGAAGACTTAACCTACTCTGGGAGGATCAGGGAAAGTTTCTCTGAGAAAAGGAGCTTAAACTGAAACCCAAAAGATGAAATAAGTAGGAGTGAGGTGAATACTAGAGATATATTTCAGGCAGAATGTGCTAAGTTGATAAAGCCATAGAAACTTTACAGAAGTGAAAACAAACTTGCACGGAAACAAACTCATATGATTTTTTTTTTTAAGATTTTATTTATTTATTCATGAGAGACACAGAAGGAGAGGCAGAGACTCAGGCAGAGGAAGAAGCAGGATCCATATAGGAAGCCCGATGCGGGACTCCATCCCAGGACTCAGATCACGCCCTGAGCCAAAGGCAGATGCTCAACCACTGAGCCACCCAGGCGTCCCAACTCATATGATTATAGCATAGGAAAGACAGGGTAAGTTAGAGAATTAAAATAAGATAGGAGCCAAGTTCCATAAAACCACATATAAGTGATGATGATTGGAATTTATCCTATGCCAATAGAAAACCCTTTGATATTTTTAAGGATGGAGTTACATATGAGATTTGAGTTTTTAAAGTATCATTTTAGGGTTGTTGTGCAGAGAAGACTGCAGGGTAAAAGTGAATGTAGGGAGGATAGGAAGTTATTGGCAAAGGACAGATGATCATGGTTTGATCTAGAGTAGAAATACAGATAACTGAATGATTTTGAGAGAGATTCAGGAGGTAGAGTCAAGAGAATTATTTGATTGATTGGATTTGGGATAAATAGAGGCAGCAATTAAAAACTTCCCAAAATTCTGGCTGTGAAAAAGAGTAGATAGAGAAGGATGTCAGCTGAAAGAGGATGTGGTTTCTAAAGAAGGCTTTTATTTTTTCAATTATTAATTACATGAGATCTTATTGCATGAGAGATCTGTTTTATTCTGTTATTTTTCATTCTGTTATAAGGGGGCAGGTAGAAAGTGAAAGAGTAATACCAGTAAGAGTAGTACCAGTAAGTGCCTGATATGTCCAAGAGGATATTATGTCCATTGGAAGAATTATTTTAGCTAAGCGACCACCAGCATTCTTTAAGAAAGGGACGCATGGAGGATGGGTGCAAAGGCAGGTAGATTTGTAATGTTGGTTAGTAAGATGTCATGCCTTTCATTGGCTTGATGAATAGGCAGGGTAAAGTCGGGGAGGGGAGAAGAAAAATAAACAGAGGCTTAGAAGACAAATTGAAGAAATTGTTTTTTTCACTGAGTCAGCTGATGCATGCAAAAGGGTTTTTATGAGTCCCAGATTGGTGACAGAATTTACAATCTATTTAGTTGTTTATTTTCTCCAGTCTAACCCATCAGCCGAGGCTTGAGCAGTGGAATACAACTCATCAAACTCATCCAGAGTTGGAGTTCTGTCAGGCTGAAGGTAGGGGAGTTTAAGATGTTGACAAGTGAGTGATCCATTGATTGTGATTGTTTATTGTTATGCAAGCCAGAGATCCTTTGAATTAGTGATTTCTCAGGTGACTGCCTGAATCCAGGGTGTGAGGACAATAAGTGGTAGTATAAAAGAGCAAGTTATTGCCTATGACTTTATAATTGTATTCTCGATGGGCCAAATCCCAAACCATAGCCAGAATCAATATTAGCAAAACATTTTCCAACTTGGCCAATCTAAGTGATAAAATTTTCATTTATGTATGTTGGAAAATCAGCAAGACTCTCCTCCCCATGAGTTTGTTTATTTTTAAAATATTTTATTTATTTATTCATGAGAGACCCAGAGAGAGAGGCAGAGGGAGAAGCAGGCTCCATGCAGGGAGCCTGATGTGGGATTCGATCCTGGGACTCCAGGATCACACCCTGGGCTGACGGCAGATGCTAAACCACTGAGCTACCCAGGGATCCTGATAATTTTTTATAGGAAAGAAGAATTAAAAAAAAATTTCTAATGGCTGAGTAATATTCCTCAGCCATTAGAAACGACAAATACCCACCATTGCTTCACATGGATGGAACTGGAGGGTATTATGCTGAGTGAAGTAAGTCAGTCGGAGAAGGACAAACGTATATTCTCATTCATTTGGGGAATATAAATAATAGTGAAAGGGAATATAAGGGAAGGGAGAAGAAATGTGTGGGAAATATCAGAAAGGGAGACAGAAGACAAAGACTCCTAACTCTGGGAAACGAACTGGGAAATGAACTAGGGGTGGTGGAAGGGGAGGAGGGCAGGGGGTGGGGGTGAATGGGTGACGGGCACTGAGGGGGGCACTTGACAGGATGAGCACTGGGTGTTATTCTGTATGTTGGTAAATTGAACACCAATAAAAAATAAATTTATTATAAAAATAAATAAAAAGAAAAATAAATTAAAAAAATAAAAAAAATTGAGAGGTCCTAGGCATATACAAAAGCTAAGAGAAACTTAAGCTAAAAATAAGCAGAAACAAAGGCTTTTGATGCAACTAATAAAGTTAGAACTTTTACAACATGTACATATTTAACTGTTTAATGTATTATATTTACAGTATACTATTTCTCTAGAATGCTGTGTACTAGAAAATTTGAATAGTAAGATAAAATTTTGTGTGCGTATGTATACAGTTTCTACTAATTTCTTCCTGAACCTCAGGGATCAGCTGGTATAACCCCTTGGAGAACTGGTACATAGTGCTGATAATCCTTTAGGCTGGTAAATATTTCCCCTAGTCTTATACCAGCAGCAGTGAGTAAATTCAAAGCAGATCAATCTCCCATTTACTGCCATAATTCAAAAACCACCACACTTGGAAATTAGAAATCTAAGTTCTTTCAATTTGAGGATGTAGTGATATTTGGAGAGTTTAGAAAGCTATGCTCTCCCTTTTTTGCCGCCCAAAAAGAAAAAAAATCAGTATTTTCCAGGTCAATTATCATTTATCAAAGTCATTAGGATGGATGTTAAATGAAAAATAGCACTTCCGGAAATTAAAAGAACTTGCTAGAGTTCATATTTCTATTTGCCTCTAAACTTGGGCAACTAAGAAGTTGTCATCAGGGCCAGAATTAACAGTTTCTTTTAATCGCTTTTATTCCACAGATGCTGAATGAGTGCCTACAGAATACAAGACATTTAGTCATTGCAGGAAACTGGAAAAAATCCAAAACATGACCCAGCCTTCTAGGCGTTAGGGTTTCATTGGGAAAACAAATCAAAACTATGACACATAAATTATGCACAAATATCAATTATTCTAGGTAACATATAGTAGCATTCAAGAGAATGTGATATGTGAGAAGATATTGTCAGAAAACAAGATTTACGTATCTAAGGTTGGGCAGCTCGGGTGGCTCAGCAGTTTAGCGCTGCCTTCAGCCCAGGGTGTGATCCTGGAGACTTGGGATCGGGTCCCACGTCAGGCTCCCTGCATGAAGCCTGCTTCTCCCTCTGCCTGTGTCTCTGTCTCTCTGTGTGTGTGTGTCTCTAATGAATAAGTAAAATCTTTTTAATAATAAATAAATATCTAATGTAGATATTACATTATCTGGGTGGCTCAGTCAGTTAAATGACCAACTCTTGATTTCAGCTCCCAGGTCATGATCTCAAGGTCATGAGATTTACCCCCTGCATCGGGCTGTGCCCTGGGCATGGAGCCTGCTTAAGATGCTGTCTCCTGGGACACCTGGGTTGCTTAGTGGTTGAGCATCTGCCTTCAGCTCAGGGCCTGATCCCAGGGTTGGGGGATTGAGTCCCACATAGGGCTCCCTGTGGGGGTCTGCTTCTCCCTCTCCCTCTATTTCTGTCTCTCTCTCCTTCTGCCCCTCCTCAACCCTGTGCATGTGCACACGTGCGTATGTTCTTTCTCTCAAAAAATAAATACATATTTAAGGTAGAAAGTGAAGGGGTTCAGAACATGCCACCCCAAAATATGCCACTTAGGCATATTGATTATTTTGAACTGAAGGCACTAAGAAAACAGATGCAGGAAGGATTCTTGGATCTCTTTTACCAAAAAGCAAGTCATAAAATTTCCTCTGAGAAAGGTGCCCTCTTACCAGGAAGAGAACATTCTTACCACCAAAGGCAAGACTGATGCCAAATTGGACCTGTACAAACAAGTCTACTAAATAATCTTTATCTGCCATTGGTTTCACGCATATATTTCAGAGTCACTGTCCCACAATTTACTGTCTCTTAACCAAGCCCCCTTTCTTGTCACATCCCCACAATTTGTTATTCTTTGTATAAAAAGGTATTTAACTTGTGGGCCTAATTATTTCTTTGGACCTTACTTCCTTCTGAAGACTGGCATATACACATAAGAATATTCAATAAATGTGTATGTTTTTCACCAGATAATGTTATCAGTTTAATTCTTAGGCCCAGCCATAAAAACCTAAGAGGGTAGAAGTATGTTCTTCCTCCCCTACAAGAGAAATAAACATTTGAGTTTAAAAGACCCTCCAGAACCAGTGTGGAGAAAGAATAACCAGGGATGGAAGGGTGAAGTAATCAACTTGGCTGGAGTACAGGATTCACATTAGAATGTGTTTAGAAGTAAAATAGAATGCTTGTGTCAGTATAAGACTGTCAACTTTATCAGTCTGCAGTGGTACATACATTGCTAAAGATTTTTTGAACAGCAGTAATGTGCATTGTTTTGGAAGGCTTATCTGGCCATTACTAAGTGGCTATTAATATCATCTTAATAAAATAAGGGTTTGAATGAAGAATCGAAAAAATATAGATGAAAAAATCATTAGGGTAGCAGACACGAGGAACAAAAGATTAGCAGTCCCCAACATGATACCTGACTAGTAGAATCATGGAAACAATACAGATACACATTAGGAAAAAAAGCTTATATGAGAAATTTTTGGAGCTTTTGAGTCAGAGCTGACTAAAAAACACGCATGTAGAAGTATCCAACAACCCACAAGCCGCTGAAAATGTGAACCTAGAATTCTGAGGAAAGGTGTAGACTTGGGACTCACATTCTCAGGAAAATGTGAAAAGAGAAATACAGAAACCAAAGACAAGCTTTAAATGCCATCATCTAAAGAATTAGGAAGCAAACTAGACTGGGTGAGGACCGAAAATAAGTAATGCAGCATCCCAGAAGCTAAGAAGTCAAAGGGTTTAATTCAAATAAGAAAAAGGACGTGAACTTCAAAATGTGAGTTGCTATGGAACTGTCAAGTTCACTTGTAATAATTTGGTCATTTTTAACAGTTTAAACAGCTCTGTAGTTTACCATTCCATCTTCTCAAGGATAACCAGGAAATCAGTGTCCACCATGTCTTGGGCTAGAGTTAATTCCTATCGCTCTCCGACTTTTAGGGATTGGCAGCTGAAGATGAGGAGTCCTCAAGTTCCCATAGCCTTCGTTTTCTTACCACCAATTGTAGGTTTTTGTTACATGTGCAAACGAGCACCAAACAAAATACTGTTCCTCCTTAGAAGTCACAGCCTCCCAAAACATGAGCCAACGACAGGTTATCCAGTATCTGCACAAGTTGAGTTGCACAACTGTGAAAACTCCAGGAGGCCCAAGGCTCCTCTCTTCGATCTAAACAGGCCCCTGCAGAGAGAGCACTCTTGAAAAAGCCAAGGCAGAGGCGGACATTGGGGTCAGAAACCTATGAACCCGGGACTTTTCTTTTCTTTTCTTTCTTTCTTTTTCTCTTTCTTTCTTTCTCTCTCTTTTTCTCTCTTTCTTTCTTTCTTTCTTTCTTGATTTTTTAAAGTACCGTCTTCAGCCAGTGGGGCTAGAACTCAGCACCCCGCGATCAAGTCAAGTCATATGCTCATTGTCTCAGCCAGCCAGGCGTCCCAGGAACCAGGGACTTGAGGGCACAGGCAATCCTGCATGCCGCTCAGCCTGTAAACAACACCCCTTCAAACTTTTTCATCTGAAGATAAAAAAGTCTTAAGATAACGGACCCTGAGAAACTAATGAAATGTATGCACCCTCCCCACACAACAACGTCTTCTTGCATACTCTTCCCGGTTTTTTTTTTTTTTTTAATTTATGATAGTCACACAGAATGAGAGAGGGAGGCAGAGACATAGGCAGAGGGAGAAGCAGGCTCCATGCACCGGGAGCCCGACGTGGGATTCGATCCCGGGTCTCCAGGATCGCGCCCTGGGCCAAAGGCAGGCGCCAAACCGCTGCGCCACCCAGGGATCCCTCTTCCCGGGGTTCTTTAAGAGCCTGACGGTTTCCAGCGAAGCCCGCATCCACCTGCGAGCCGCCCCTCGTCCTTAAGTCTTGCGCAGGCGCAGGGAGCGCCCCGCAGAGGGGCGGGGCGGGGCCGGGAGGGGAGAGGCGGGGCGTGCCCGACGCCAAAGGCCCTCGCACCGCCCCGGAAATGCCGTGTCTTCGGGCCTCGGAGACAGAGAACTGCTTCCGGGGGCGCGGAGGAGGTCACAAGTCATGTGACGACGGCTTTCCGAGGAGACTTGTCTTTGGAACTGTCCCTGAAGTTACGGCGGAGAGAGCACCGCGGCCCAGAAAGCCAGTAACTCGAGCCGCTTCGCTCGGTACACAGCCGGGGCCCGCAGGGGGCGCGAGCGGGGAGACGGAGAGGGAGAGGACTGGCCTTCCCCTCTCCTTTGGGCCTGCATGTCGGCGACTGGAGGGTGGAGTGGGCTGCGGTAGGGCATCCCAGCTTCCTTCTGGCTCTTTGGGAACTCCCACGTCGCTTGGGCTTCCCTGGTGCGGTCTTAGAGCCCCGGATCCTTGCCCGGCCGTGATGAGAGCCGACTCCGCTTATTAGGCTGGAGGTGAGAAGAAGTCTTGAGGGGAGAATCACCAGGAGTTTCTCTTCCAGGAGTGGAGATTGATCCTGCGGAAGAAAGGGGTTCGTCATGGCGGATGTGAGTTAACACACCCACACGAGAGGAAGCGGGGAGGCTGGGGAGTTTGCTGGAGGCCTGCTGCGCGGGGAGAGGCAGAGCTTCCCGAGCAGAAATGTGTTTACTTTTAACCCGCCCACCGCCACGTATTTTCTGTAGACTCCGGTGTGAGTGACTAAATATGAAGAGATGTTCTGGGTCCTGAGCTTCTGCCCACAGTGAGGGTGGAGGACGCTAAGGTGTCTGAGGTGGAGAAAATTGTACTCTTGCCACTCCCCAGTCCAGCGGGCGTAAGAGAGGCTCTGAACACCATTTGAATTTCTAAATGGTATTTGGCGGCTGTGTGAGTCTACTTTTTCCCGGAAAAGTGGTCATGATGTGTCTCTAGTTTCACTGGAGGCAATTTGAGATGATTTCTGACTTACCACCTCTTTAGCACAGCAACAAAACCCAAATTCGAAGTTTAGGAAACTTGATTGTACTAGTTACTAGGAACAACAGGGAATTAATACTACGAATCTTTGTATTTTACATCCTGTTATTATTTTGCTTCTGTACATGCTGGGCACTCTTCGAAACACTGAACGTATGGTAATTCTTACAACTTTCAGGAAGTAGGCACTGTTACTATCCTTGTGTTCTAGATGAGGATGCCAAGGCATAGAAAGATGAAGTAATAACTTGCCTCAGGTTACACGGCTGGTAAGTTGTAGAGTCCAGGTACCAAGCCAGACAGTCTGACTCCAGAGTTTATGCTCTTAACCGCTAGGTTAAATGGTCATTAAACATTAATATGAATGTGATCTTTTTTTCTTTTTGGTTGCAAGATTATGTGTTTGAATATTTAGGAACTTTGTGTGCCTTTACGTACAGACACTTCATTTTTTGGGGTGTTTGTCATTATGTTCTTGAGACCTTATTCTCCAGGCATCGTCAAATCACTATATATCTATTGAGCATCACCTTGCAAAGGTTGTTGCAATAAGGGCTGTGGGTGGAATAACAACAATTAAGGTATAATTCCTCTCTTTAAGGGTCTTTAAATTTCTTTTTAAAGTATAGTAAGCAGGTGATCATAAATGTATATACATTATTGTGTGAAAATTCGAAGAAGAGAGGGATTACATCTGGTTTGTATTTATCAGGAAAGCTTATTTGGAGTATTTGGTGGTTGAGATTAGCTCTAAATAAGTAGCATTTTTTCTTAAAATTCTTTAATGAAGAATTATTATTAAAATGAATAGTGTAAGCAAAGTTTGAGAGAGAGGAAAGGGAAGGAGATGTGTGTGGAGGAGCTGTGAGTTGTCCACTTTTGCTGGGGCTGAGGTTATGAGGGTGTGGTAGGAAGCAAGACTAAAATTGGGTGTTGACCATATTGTAGAGAGGCTCAAATATTAAAAGAATTTGTAGAGAATTTTTTAAACAGTGGAGAGCCACTCAGATGTTTGTTCTCAGCCGTGGCTGCACACAGAATCATCTGGCACTTCTAACCCAGGTGAAAAAGTACAATAATATGGCTACTAGCATTGTGTAGAATTGTATGGGATAGAAATGGGAGACCAGCATACCAGTTAGGCTAGCACAAGTCATAAGTAAAAAAGTGAACCTGAATTATGATGTCAGTTGAAAAGGAGAGGAAGAGATCATTTTAAAAACATTTGACGTCACAAATCATTTAGAAGTGATAAAGGTGATGTTATTGATGTTATTAGGGTTAAATGTTACTCTGTGTTTCAGACCTGAATAATGGGATTGGTAGTGCCATTAGTGGAAACAATAAGAGATTGAGGAAATCTATATTTCACAAGAAATGTTATGAGTTGTATTTTAATGTGTGTGTTTAAGAAAAGAGCAGAGGTAAGATGGTGATGATAACATGAAATAAAGTGAACATTCAGGTTTGGAGAATAGTAGGGATTAGAGGTTCAAAACAACAGATACCTGATTTACCTAGGTAGACCTCATAATTGATACCTAGATTGTCAGTGAAATTCACCAGGTGAGAAAGTGTAAGGAGAGGAAATAAAATAGTGTTTAGTTTCTTTAGTCCCAGCTCTCTTCCATGCTTAACACTTGACACACATGGTCATTTACTGTAGTCATGAAAACAAATGGAGTTTCAGAGAAGTGAGTTTACCCATGATTGTTAAAGTGACATTAGAAGGTTTATCTGTGGACACAGAAAGATGTTTATAATACATTCTCAAGTGAACAAGACAGTGGCAACAGGATGTAAAATAGTATGAAAAATATGATCTAATTTTATAGCTAATATGTATTTGCTATATTTTTGTCCAGATAGGCTAATAAGTTTACATACATCTTCTCAATAAATTTTAACAACAGTCTTATGACATAGGTTCTGTGATTTATCCCTTCTCAACAAATAATGAAACTGGAGCTTAGAGAAAAAGGCTAATAAATAACTTGTTCCAAGTCACACAACTAGTATCAAAATCAGAAAGAAAACACAAGAAAGATTATGAGTGACAATTTAAAGTACCTGAAATGTGGGTGGGACAGTAACTAGAGAACCAGTACAAGGCATATTATTATAACGTGATTTCTTATATTCTCTTTCAGGACCTAAAGCGATTCCTGTATAAAAAATTACCAAGGTAAAAAATTACTAATTTGTTATTAAACAAATTCTGCATAAGGTATGTTGATTTTATGTAACATTTCGTTTCTGTATATTATAGACTAGTATGTGTATATTATGCTGCTGTTTAGCATTTTCACATATTTGACATTAGCACAAGAAATATCCTTTGAATTTGCAGATAAATAATATGAGGCTTAGAGAAGTTATGTGACTTGTCTGAAGTTAAACAGCTCATGAATGCCAGAGGGCTAGAAGTTAGATTTCTTGCCACTTGAGAGTTCTTTCAAATATACTGTCAGTAGTTTACTGGATTATACTTTGAAGTAGTTAGAGCAGTTTTAAGGGGAAAAACCCTAAGAACATGCCTTTCCTCTAGTATCATTTTTAAGACCTAATTGCTGAGTCTGCATAACCCAGAAATGCTGGATATAGACAGCATTCATACTTGGAAAAATCACAAAGCTTTCTTTTGCCTGCACCCAGTCCATTTGATGCACCAGTATCAATTAGGTTCTGTGTGGAGGACAGCAAACTTCCTTTTAGATATTTTTGTGGTTCAAAGGACTTTGTCACTTTAGTTGTATTAAAATTCACATTTAGCTTAGTGTAAAGTAATACCTGAGAGAGAATACAACTTGAAACATCCATTTTTATATTTCAGCATTACTGAATGACCTTTGAGGTGTAAAAGTGAGATCTTTTTTTTTTTTCACTTTTTTAAGAATTCTCCAAATGTGTGAATTTTAAAAGATTTTGGATGTCAATTTATTTCTGTAGGTAGGTTAAAAAAAAAAAAAATTCTCTTGTTCGTATTTTTGCTTGAATTGTTTGACGTGGTTTGCCTATTGACTTGTGCCTTTACCCTGGCTGCAACCAGTAGAAATTAATGACCTTGTCTCCTGGGTTTGATTTATGTATATTTTTCTATATTCAGGAAGAACATACTATTGAACTGTTAAGTAACTGTTACTTCTGGTTTCATGTTAATGTAGTACTTGAATTCATTTTCACTCTCTTCCTTCTAGTACTTGCAAAACTAGAGCACTGATTCTGTTCTTAACATGATGAGCAGGCTTTGCTCCGTAGTTCAGGGCCATAAAAATGACTGTACAAGCCGAAACCGTCCAAAGCAATTTTAGTCATCCCTGGGGAAAATGACAGTTGTTTTGTGACCTTTAGAAGATTTTGTCAAAACATTAAAACCTTTGGTTGGTTCTGTTTGAAGGGATAGAAACAAATGCTAAAACCAATATTTGTTTAATACACCACAATTTAAAAACAGTGGAAATACTGAGGATTACAGTGTTAGTTTCTTTGTAGAAAACTTCTCAACTGTGGTTTGAACAGTGCCTGCTTCTTTGCATATATAGTAAAATATATGAAAGGTAAAACCTTAAGATAAGGAGCAGGCATCTTTTCTGTGCCTTGGCAAATTGGCATACTCCTTTCTAAATGTGGATCATCTTCCACCATTTTGTCCTTTGTACTGTTGATGTTCAAAGTTTTTTGCCAGCATCACTTCCTCTGGGAGATTTTCATCCTTTTCATCACAGCCCACTTTCGTAAATTCTGTCAGTAAGTGCACTTTCACAAAGCTCCTCTAACTGCACGTCTTGTGCACAACAGTAAAAATGTCAGCATTCTTTTGGCCAGTTATCTCATCTATGAGTGCTTACTTTCTATTTGAATTTCACTTCCAGCATTGTCACCTTTACTTCCTTTGCTGTATTTCATCTTTATTAGCCAGTTCCCTATTTCAGTTCTGTTTTTCTTTTTAATGTCGTATGCTTTTTCATTGGAAGACAAGGAGATAATAATACTCCATGCTTTACTGTCCCTGCATAAACTAAGTAACAGATGCTCAGTGACCAGTCACCGACACACTTTGAAAGAAGTGATGGGACAGTGTGCATCTGTCATTTACAAAGTTATTCACATAGTGATTTGTGTGAAGAGTTAGTGGAGTTTGTATAGTATGCCGTTACTCACTTAATACACTGTACTTCCTGAAATTTGAGCCATCCTGTCAGGGAGAGTGGAGTTATTTAATTCAACTGTGGTAACTATAGTCCACATTGGAACTGTACAAAATGAAGGCTTTCTGTACTTAGGCTTTCTGTATCTGTCTCGGAGGTTTAGCATATTGAAAAGATAGTAAAATTGACCAATTGGGTTGGAAAGATACCACACTGGCAACAAAATAGAGGAGCAGAAGCCTAGTTGATATTTGTAAAAAGAGTATTTGTAAGAATGTGATGAAAATCTTTCTATAGTAGAAGAAAGGGATTAGGACCATATTGGTTTGGTTTGGTTTGGTTTGGTTTGGTTTGGTTTGGTTTGGTTTGGTTTGGTTTGGTTTTCCCCCACCACACAGTTCCCCTCTTGAAGGCACCTATTACCCTCGAAGTTAATTTACGCACCTAGAAACAAGCAGGTAAATAAGCACACATATTTATACATATACACATAGGTCTTGGTTGAGGCTATTAGGACAAAGGGTACCATAGATTGGATTTCCTATAAATAAGTGAAATTCTCACAGTTGTGGAGGCTGGAAGTCCAAGATCGAGGTGCCAGCATGGTTGGATTCTGGTGAAGGCCGCTTTCTGAGTTGCAGATTATAGACTTCACCTATCCATATGGTAGAAGGAGGGCTAGCTAGTCTCTAGCCTTAAGTAAGGGTACTATTCCCATTTTCCCATTCTGAGGGCTCCACCCCATATCCTTTTTTTTTTTTTTTTTTTTTTTTTAATTTATGATAGTCACAGAGAGAGAGAGAGAGAGAGAGAGAGAGGCACAGAGACATAGGCAGAGAGAGAAGCAGGCTCCATGCACCGGGAGCCCGATGTGGGATTCGATCCTGGGTCTCCAGGATCGCGCCCTGGGCCAAAGGCAGGCGCCAAACCGCTGCGCCACCCAGGGATCCCTCCACCCCATATCCTAATTGCCTCCCAAAGGCCCCACCTCTAAATACCATCATATTGGGATTAGGGTTTCAACATACAAATTTTGGGGGTGACATAAACATTTAGTCCATTGCAACAATACATATGTATGCCTACTCTTGTTATTATATAAATTTTGTTTCCTGTACACACACTATGCAAAATTGTTTTTTCACTTAACAATATACCTTTGAGATCAGTCCTTCCCAGTACATAACAGAAAACCTTATTTTTAATGGCTGCAAAGTATTCCATTGTATATGTGTGTCATAATTTATTGATCTTGTCTTTCTTAATAGTTAGGTTTTTTCCTATTTCAAGTGATGTTGCTGTTGATAACTGTACAAAATTGTTTCTGTGTGTACATGTATCTGTAGAATATACTTTTATTTAACTAGTTTTTAAGAAGAATTTCTTTTATACATTAACCTTACAGAGAAAAAAAAAATAAAACCATGCAGAGCACATTTTAATCTGTAGATAATTCCAGAATTGAATGATCATGAAAAGTAATACCAGTAAATGTTTATACATGGTTATTTCATTGTTCTTACTTTTAATGTGAAGTTCATAAATGATAGTGTTTATAACATTTTCTCAAATTTTAATAACACTTCTCTGACTTAAACGTTTTTGCCACTGGGATCTTTAAAGTTTAATTTCAGTATCTTAATATGACAATTCCTATTTCTAACTTAAAACATTAAGGTTAACAAAGAATGATCTGGGTTATAGTTAGCATTGAACATATTTCTGAGTAGCAGTCTTGGATATTACAAGATTATGAGGCTGAAAGTTTGAGAATGTTTTCCCATTCTAATTTTTAACACTTAAGTTTTGTGCTCTTGGCATTCTCTAAAGGGTTAATACGTAAACTGCCTAATAAATTGTCAGTGTGTGCAGATGGCATTCTAATGGCAATTAGTAATAATTAATATTTGTGAATTTTAACTATCAGTTTCTACTTTACATGGATTATTTTATTAAATTTTATAATAGCTACATAAGTAGTTATTCCTATTTCATATTTTTAACAGGGGCTTACAGAGGTTTCATAACTAGCTCAGGGTGGTTCAAATAGTAAATGTAGGAGAGCCTAGACTGGATTATACAGTTACAGTTTTGATGATTCCACTTACTGCTTATTAGGCATAACTGAAAAGATTGCTACCAGACAGCCCTTCATTCTTTCCAAGCTGTTCCTTCAGCCTAGAGCAATCTTTCTGTCAGTCTTCTCCTGACCAGTGCGTAACACCTCAGCTTAACTATCACTGCCTTCCCTGACCCACTTGTCTAAATCACTCCCCTCTTCTTGGCTCTCATACCCCACAGATATCTTGATGGCACTTAATACCATTGTCACTATAGCTACTGCTGATGATAACCTGTCATACTTTCATAAATAATGGAAAGATAATTAGCCATTTTAATGGAGAATTATCTGTGTTTTAGATCTTTATCAATAGCATAAATTGGTAAAGATTATAAGCATGTCAGTAATAGGCATGGTTATTCAATTTCTGGAAGTTTTGGCAGGAATTTAGGAGCTTATGAGGTCAGCAACTGAGTTGACAGTTTTTCAGAAATATACTTGAAAATCCCCGTAATGACTTTAAGGTACATATTTTGAGAAAATGAAATGCTTCATAATATTTTAACTTCTTTTTTTTCTTTCTAGTGTTGAAGGGCTCCATGCTATTGTTGTGTCAGATAGAGATGGAGTCCCCGTTATTAAAGGTAAAAACTGAGCCACCTGCATGTCAGTGTCATGTTTGCTTTTTTTTTTTTTTTTTTTTTTTTTAGATTTTATTTATTTATTCATGAAAGACACACACAGAGAGAAGGCAGAGATACAGGGAGAGGGAGAGGCAGGCTCCCTGCAGAGATCCTGATGCAGGACTCAATCCCAGGACCCCAGGATCACAACCTGAGCCACAGGCAGATGCTCAACCACTGAGCCACCCAAGTGCACCTCATGTTTGCTTTTGAATAAAAACATATTTATGTCTGAGTAGGGCAGAAGGTAAGCATATAAAAGCTATTTCAGTAAATTCAGGCGATGGTCTCAGTTTAGGGGGAGATGTTTGCTTTTGTATGTTGAAGGCTGGGTTGGAGTTTATAACTTATTACATTTTGAATGGAGTTTATAACTTACTACATTTTGAATGGATTGTGTCACCATCAAGAGTTTAAGCATGGGTTTATCACAAGCCCAATTTTGCATTAAAGACATTTGTGGTATAATGTAAACATTAGTAAATAGTGCTCAGACTAAGCATGTATGCAGCTATATATATTATACACACACATTTCCCTAACATATAATTTTTGATCAGTACTGCTGGTGGTTGTGGGATAAACTTCCATACATTTGAATTCACATATGTTGTTTTTTTGTTGTTGTTGAGTCTCTGTTAATTTTCTCCTTCTTTCCTAGAAATAAGATATTCTTTAAACTGTTAACTTCACAATTACTTTAATTAATTAGACTCTAACAAGACTTTCTCGCCTAAAGAAGAGCTTGTTAACCTAAAAACTATTTTTTTTCCTTGATTTTCATCCTTTTTTTTTTTTAGGTTTTATTTATTTACTTATTTGAGAGAGAGAGCACTAGGCATGAGAGCAGTGTAGAGGAGCAGAGGGGGAAGGAGAGGGACAAGCAGACTCTGGCCAGAACCAGGAGCCTGACATGGGGCTCAATCTCATGGCCATGAGATCATAAACCTGAGCTGAAATCAAGTCAGTCACTTAACTGACTGAGCCACCCAGACGCCCCTCAGCTTTTTAAAATATATATGATGTCACTGCGTCAGTGTGTATTAAGACTATTTTTACCACTTGTTTCTTAATATGTCATCACATGGTTGTTCCTAGTTCTTTAGGGATGCTGTAATAGATTTACCAAAGAAAGATTAAGTAATGTTCTTTACATTTAATTTATTTTCCACCTGAGGTTATCATCTGTGTCAGATAATTTTAGACTTTAGAATTCAGAGAAAGTTTAGAAATCACCTAATTTAGTTCTTTCATTTTGTAAACAAAGATGGTCAAGTGCAAAAAGTACATCGTTAGTGCAGAGTTACAAGTGAGTCAGTGACAAGATAGTAATAGAACCAATTATCTTCTGATGTGTGGTTCAGTGTGCATTCTAAGCCACCATACCATGGGCAAGTAAGTCACCTGCCTTTTCACCTTTTCTCAGTTCTGGTAACGAGGGCTTTGAACAAAATCAAAATAATGTTGGAGATTTCCCAGCTCTAATGTTCTTTCTTAGGATCTCTGTATTAAGGCCTTAAGCTCTGCACTTATTGGTAGAACTAACTCCATTCAGGCCTTTTAATGAGTGAAAGAAACTTAAAACAAATGGCCAGCTGCAAAATTTACTAAATATCTTCAAGTGATATGTTATAGGTTTTATGAGAGCAAAGGTTTTCTGGAAGCTTTTTTCATTATTATATTCTGACTGGGCTCTCAGTTAACCAGAACATTTAGTTTATTAAATGTACTGATTAATTTGTGTTTTAAAGTAGATATTAAGAAAATATATACATTTAGAATTCTTTAAAAAAAATTACGAGAATCAGTATTTCCTCCCTTAGTTATGATCATTCAGTTTCTCATTGAGCAGTTTTTCTCACCAAAATGGATCAGACCCAATTGTTGATATGATCTTCAGTATTGTGAAGCATAGTACCTCTTGTGCTCAATATTTTCACTGATTTATGTTTTTAAAAAAAAGTACGATAAACTTCTATCATATCCACTGCATTGATTTTTATTTAAATCATTTGTATTTCCAGTGGCCAATGATAACGCTCCAGAGCATGCTTTGAGACCTGGTTTCTTATCTACTTTTGCCCTTGCAACAGACCAAGGGAGCAAACTTGGTCTTTCAAAAAATAAAAGTATCATCTGTTACTATAACACCTACCAGGTAGGTTCATAATACTTGAATGCTTTGCTGCTTTCACCTATTATTATAATAGTCTTCTATATAGAATAACTTACGCTATTCTAAATTTTAGTTTTGAAGTGTGGATGGCATTTTAAAATCTTAGCCTTCAAAGTTGTGTTGAATTGTAGTAATTGTCTTCACATTTTATTCCAGTATACCAGGAATTAATTAATATGGAAAAGTGATTAAAAGATTTATTAATAAAGTACATTATCCTAAAAAGAGAAGTCAGGTCACTCTTACCTCCAGTAGATGGTGCCCTTAGCTTAACAAATACGATTTCTCAAATGACACACTTATTTTGTTGTTGTGACAAATAAAAAGTTCCCTTTGATGGTCACATGACAAGTTACTAAAATTTGTTATTGCTGCTAATTCCTTCATTTGGTTTAAAGATATATATAAGTGAGGTTATTATGAGAGAATTTCATTGCTACATACCTCTTGATGTGTAGCTGCAATTTTTTTTGTTTAGAATAAATTAATAGCTTCTGCTTTAGAGCAGTGTTTCCCAGAATTTGTTTCATGTACTGCTGATGTTACACAAGTGACATTTTTTATTTTAAAAAATAAATACACATATTCTCATGTGTATTACGCAAAAGATAACAACCCCTTTTGACCTTTAATTTTACTAATAAAGATTAGTTTGAAACTAACTTTTTTTAAGTGATAGTTGATTTAAAGTTAAATTTAAATTAATAGTGTTAAAGGAAGCAGGAAAATCATCAAGATATAACTACTTGAATGAGAAATGCTGACTTTAGCCATGTAATCAACTATTTCCAGAGTCCCTGCCATGTAATAATTGACACACTGCTAGGCTTTGGAGCTAGAGAAATGAAGATGACATAGTCCTGCCTTCAAATCTCTGCAGGTTGAATAATGATAATGTCTCTAAGAGATACTCTGTCTGTTGTACAGAAATACTTATTTTCAGCTCTTTCATATTACATGAATGGTAGGTAGTATCTTACACATTGGCCATTTAAATAAAAGTTTTGAAAAATTAAGATATTTCATTTGAGTAACATTTACTTAGATCTTACTTTCTTTTTAGGTGGTTCAATTCAATCGTTTACCTTTGGTGGTGAGTTTCATAGCCAGCAGCAATGCCAATACAGGTGTGTTTTAACTACCTTAAATACAGCTTTTAATATCTTGTAATACCATATCTGAGCAGTATAATATGATAGAAATAGTAGATTTAGAGTCAGCAAAGCTGAATTAATGGCCCAACTCCACCATCTATTCCTTGGTCTCCAGAAAGGTAACTTCTCTCGATTCTGTTTTTCCTAGCTGTATAATGGAGCTAATACCTGCTTTCTTTGTCTGATGGGGTTATTTTCTAGTTCAAATGAACATTGTATGGGTAAGTGATCTTTTAAGAGAGAAAGGAAAATTAAATTATCTTCAGCATTGGAATGCTACATTTTGCTCACATTTGAAACAACTTAAGAAAATAGAGTGGAAAATATAACCAAACACATGGTCAAGGATGAGTTCAATTCCATGTAGACCAATCTATTAGAGATTGTTAAATCTTGAATGATATTGGGCAAAATTAATGTGATTTAGATTTTAAGAGTCTGACTAGGATGAACATACATGTGTTCTTTCCAAGGGCCAAAGATTTTGAGAATACACACCACCAGGAAGCTGTACTTTCTATAGCAGATCATAGGATCCCATTATATCCAGTGACCTTGACCAGATATTTATGTTTAAAATAATGACTGTATTCTGTAGTTTACATACTATACTCCCTTTTGGATAAAGTGGGATTTTTTTTTTTTTTTTAAAGTATTGTCTCCTTGAGATTTGACTGCTATTTAGAACTGTTATACATTCTTTTTTCACATTCTTTTTTCTGCTTTTTTCTTTCCAAGTTGTTTGAGCACATTCTGTTTCCAGCTGTGTCACTGAAACTTGTCTTTAGATGCCTTGTTTTTAAAATGAGGGGTTTAGAATTGATGATCTAGGAGGTCTCTTCCATTTTTAAATGTTTCAAAGCTGTAAAATAGTATATGTGAAAATACTTTGTAAATTATATAGGATAGTTGTGTTGATATTTAAAGTATATTAAATATCAGTTGTGATCAGTCACCATCATATACTGAGTCATCAGTTGTTACAAATTTTGATAATGTACGGAATTATATTTTAGTACCTAGAACATTTTTTTAAAATGTTTCCTTCCACTCTGTGGTATGTATGTATGTATTTATGTATGTATGTAAGAGAGAGAAGGAGAGAGCAGATTGGGAGAGAGGGAGAAGCAGACTCCCAGCTGAGAAGGGAGCCTGAGGTGGGACTTGATTCCAGGACCCCTGGATCATGACTTGGCCAGGGGCAGTTGCCCAACTGACTGAGCCACCCAGGCACCCCACCTAGAACATTTTGAGAATCCCAGATGCTTTTAATATTCTGTGAAATAGAGGAAGATCTTTGAGCATAAAACAAACAGTTTCTAAGATATTTAAGATAAATAACTTTTTACTCTGACAAACTAAGGAAAAGCTAGATAGGCTAATTTCTAGACTACATTGTCTCCCAGATTCAACACTAAATTTGCAACATGGAAGTGTATGTTTTACATTCCTGCCATTCATCTTTAAAATTAATTTTTTCAATTGAAATACCCATTTACACTTTAGCTTTACTGAATTTATAAAATAGTTTTCTAATATTTCTTTATTCAAGGTTGAAGCAGCCTGTTTACTTGTATTTTGATAAAGTCTGTTAGAATCTGTTCAGGAAAAAAAGTGTACCTTTTTTTAAAAGATTTTATTTACTCATGAGAGACACAGAGAGAAAGAGAGAGGCAGAGACACAGGCAGAGGGAGAAGCAGACTCCATGCAGGGAACCCGATGTAGGACTCGATCCCAGGACCCCAGGATCACGCCCTGGGCCAAAGGCAGACGCTAAACCACTGAGCCACCCAGGGATCCCCAAAAAGTGTACCTTTTTAAGTAAAAATCTTGTATCATTTCTGATCAGTACAGATTTTAAAACAAAGTATAAATTATTCTTTTCAAAACTCTTAACAAAATTACAGTACATATAATTTATATCTTCTAATACATATGAATATTTTTAAATGTATTTACTTTAATAATGAAAATAAACTTCATAATGAAAAGTTTTGATTAGTTAGAATTATAGTATTTTGCTTTATTTATGGGGAATAAACTAGATCTTGTTTGCTTTTTAGTAATTAAATTTTTACAGTAGGAAATCTGAGTCAAAGACTTTTTCAGGAATATTTTTCTGATGTTCTAATTTTCTTATCTCTCTGTTTTAGGACTCATTGTCAGCCTAGAAAAGGAACTTGCTCCGTTATTTGAAGAATTGAGACAAGTTGTGGAAGTTTCTTAATCTGGCAATGGTTTTGACGTAAACCTTTTCATCATAACAGACACAATATCAATCCAGCAATCTTTAGACCACAACAATACTTGTATCCGTGTACTCAAGAAAGGGCCCCTTTCCCACCTTACACTAAAGAAAGAGCCTATAGTTATAATTTATGGACAGATTAATTGTTATCTTTTCTTGTGTAGGGTCTTTTCTTGACTTAGTGAGATCTGGGGTTACCACAGAAACGGTTCATTACATCACAGCTCCCATGGAGTTAGTCCAGTCACAGATATGCATGAGATTCTATTCATTGGATCAGAATCAAAATGATACTTTGATCCACTTGAGCCATTAGGTGCTCCCTATTATATAATATGCCCAGGCCTGCAGAATGAAGCAGACCCTTTTTATTGTGAATAATAATGAGGACATATTTTTCTTTATATTGTTTTATTTCTTTGCATTGAGTGTGAGGAAGATAAATGGCTTAGTAAAAGTAATAAAATCAGTACAATCACTAACTTTTCTATGTATATATTATTTTGCAGTATAAGTGAATATTACTAATTGATTTGATTCTTTTCAGAGGGTGCCGCTCTTTAATGAAAATGATGGCTAATGGTTTTTTTCTCCACTCTGCTTTCTATAACCAATCAGTGTTTTAATGTTTGTGTGTTCTTTATAAAATTTAGAAGTAATTCATTATTGAATTCTGTTTCCAGAATTGGTATATATGTAAACATGGTAGTACAGCCATTTTTTTTTTCATACATGAGTATAAATAAAATAGTATTTTTTAAAGTATAGTTTGAGCACTAAATAGGTTTCTTTTCTGGCTTCTTTCAAAAGTTTAAAGAATATAATTAACTCAATTCATTTTCAACTACATGAATAAGCAGTGAGTTTTGCTTACAGTTGTTGGTTTGGAAACTGTTGTACCTAGTGTCAATTGGAAAGTAAACCTCATCCATGAGCCTAATTTACTTTCTTTGAAAGAAGTATCTTGGTTCTAGAATATGCCCTTTATATTCAGGAAGGCAGTCCACCATTCAGAGTTGTTAGTTTCTTTGAGTTCTTTGACAATCAGAGTTTGTCACTGGTAGAGTTCAGTACACATGCATTGAGCACCTGTTGTGTGCCATGCACCAGAGCTACCACATTGCAGAATTCTAAGAAGTACAATTCATATCATATTTCTGTGCTCCAGAGGTACCTTTCATGTGGAATGTGTGAATGCTGTCCCTGGAGTTGTGCAGTGAGTAGTCAGCACTGTGCCTGCTTGCCTTTTCTTTCCTCTCTTTCTCCTCCCTCTCTCCTCCTCTTCCCCTCTCCCTGCTTTTATACAAACATGAAACTAAGTTATGGTACCTTCTTTTGAAGAACTTACAGCTCCGTAAATAAAAACAGGCATAGGATGTAGTGATACAGCTATCCAGGATGCTGTAGAAACCCAGAGGTGGAGGGATTTAAGTTGGGCAAGAGCAGTAGCCTTTATGTGGAAATAGAAGCAGGGGACATGTTTGATCTGCAGGGAGCTATCAATAGTTCATGAAACCTAATAAAGCATTGAATGTGCACATTATAATATAGAAATACCCCAAAATAAAATCAAATCTAGAATTCCCATTATCTGGGATTATTACTGAATAGTGTACAGGAGATTGTTGCTAATGCAATGCAGAACGTTAACTTCAGATGATAATATATGCCTAAAAATCCCAAGAAAGGAAACTATAATAAATGGAGATACTTTTAATCCTCCCGTGGTGAATACTGCTACTATTAGAATTTCTGTTTGAAAGAGATAAATTGTTCTACAGCTTACCTGTAAAAGTAAATAGGTGAAAATCAGAAATATTTGAAAAGGTTATATAAAACTAGATGAACTAGTTTTAAAAGGTAGTATAAACTTGATTAGGTACACAATTAAGTGGGTCAATGGAACAGAAAAACCCAGAAACAGACTTTACTATGGACATATGAGGACTTAAAACATTATGAGGATGACATTAAGCCAGTGGGAAAAGGATTATTCAATAAAGTAGGACAGGCATTTTTTATGCCTTTCTCTAAGAAGTGTATATCTTGTATACCCTTTGTATAGGACTCTATGGCAGTCTCTGTGAAACTTCCAAATGCACATAACCTTTAGCCTCATGTATTAGAATTCTCCAGAGAATTAGAACCAGTAGGCTACACATTTTTTATTATGTATAAATATATATTATAAATGTTACACAAATATAAAACACTTAGGAGGAATTGGCACTCATAATTCTGGAAGCTGAGAAGTACTGTGGTCTGCCATCTGCCAAGATGGAGAACCAGGGGAGCCAATGATATAAATCCCACTGAAGGCAGAAGACAAGTTAACATGTCTTAACTCACGGAAACCTCAGTTTTGCTCATAAGGCCGGCCTTTCAACTGGATGAAGCCTGCTCATATTATGGAGAATAATCTCTTCTATATAAATTCAGTGGATTCAGGATGATGGATGTTAATTTAAGCACATCTACAAAATACATAGCAACACGTAGATTCATGGTCTATTGAATAGGTACTATGGCCTTGCTAAGTTGACACCTAGAACTAACCTCGGACTACCCTTGTGGGCTTGGCATCATATACATCTTCCTAAAGCATACTTCCCTTCAAATAAAGTCAGTAGCCAACTTCTATTTCTGTCAAACAATAAACAACTAACCTACCTACAGAAAAGATGTTCACTTTCCCCAGAGGATGCAAAGTACTTGGGCGTTCATTCACTTTTTTCCTTCATATACTATATTTTTTAAAATATTTATTCGAGAGAGAGAAGGGTGAGAGGCAAGGGGAGAGTGAGAAGAGAGAGAGAATCCAAGCTGACCCCTGCTGAGCACAGACCCTGACACAGGGCTCGATCCCAGGACCCTGAGATCATGGCTTGAGCTGAAACCAAGAGTCGCTCAACCAACTGAGCCACCCAGATACTGTAGTTTAAGGACTGTGATGTGAGGTTAACCCTTTTTAATACATCTTAAGTTGAATGATAAAAGAATACAAGAGGAAAGAAAAGTTTTGCTTAATATGTGTATTTCATACGCATTCATGTACACACAAACATTCATAACAAAACAACAAATAAAATAATCACAGTCCTTGTGTCTCCAGCTGAGTATGTAGCTGTAGCTGGTATTTGTAACGGCCCTCCATTACCCATTCCATATTCCTTTTGCCCTCAGCAAGCACCTCAGCTGATCACAGCTCTAGCCTGTGGGGTGACCCAAACCTTTATTTCTGGAGAATCCAACCCATTGGTTGTCCTGCCTGAATTGTAGTGTTCCATTGACTTTAGTCATGGGACTCAGTGATCCTGAGATTCTCTAGAGGATGTGCTGTGTTGTGAACATACTCTTCCCTCCATGGTGCAGTAGCAGCCCAGTGTCCCCCCCCTGGAAATCAGGACCAATCGGCCCAGTCAGTACAGTTAATTACCTTCTTTACCTGCTGATTCCAACGGAGAAGTCCAATGAAGCTGGTAGCAACAGAATGTTTCCACCATTCCTTGCTTTGAAACCAAAACCTCTGGACTACCACAGCATTAGAATATGGAGACACTGCCCAGCCCAGCTAGATATTGCCACTTACGTGGTGCTCTAACGGAGTCTTCAAAAGGCCATTCCACCATTCTATCAGGGCTGCAGCTTCAGGATGATGGGGAACATAGTAAAACCATCAAATTCCATGACAGGTATGTGATTTATATTAACTCCAAAATCCAAGGAGGCCCATTAGGTATTGTGCCTCTTTTTTGGTTGTGAAAAGGGCCAGATGCAACAAGTTATCCTTTTTTTAAATTAATTAATTAATTAATTAACTAATTAATTAATTAATTTATGATAGTCACAGAGAGAGAGAGAGAGGCAGAGACACAGGCAGAGGGAGAAGCAGGCTCCATGCACCGGGAGCCCGATGTGGGATTCGATCCCGGGTCTCCAGGATTGTGCCCCAGGCCAAAGGCAGGCGCCAAACCGCTGCACCACCCAGGGATCCCCAACAAGTTATCCTTTACCTTAGAAAAGCTGTCATGGGATCCCTGGGTGGTGCAGCGGTTTGGCGCCTGCCTTTGGCCCAGGGCGCGATGCGATCCTGGAGACCCGGGATCGAATCCCACGTCGGGCTCCCGGTGCATGGAGCCTGCTTCTCCCTCTGCCTGTGTCTCTGCCTCTCTCTCTGTGTGTGACTATCATAAATAAATAAAAAAAAAATGTATAAAAAAAGAAAAGCTGTCTTGACCTGCCCCATACCACTGGGCCCCCAGAATTTCAGTGAGATGAAAGCCCCTGAGTTTTTGCTGAATTTATTTCCCACCCTCAACCAAATATCTTACCACTAAGTCTAGAATCGTTGCTGCCTCTTGCACCTTAGGTTCAATCAGCATAATGTTATCAATACAGTGGACCCATGTGATGTCTTATGAAAAATGTGATCAAGGTTGGTGTGGACTAAATTATGACATAAGGCTGAACTGAAGTAAGATAAATCTCCAAGGTAGGATGGTGAAAGGAGGATTGCCGGCCTTACCAGATAAAGCGAGCTCCTTCCAGCGGCCTTTGCTAATAGCAAAAACATTTGCCAGATCAATAGCTGCATGTCAGGGACCAGAGGATGTGTTAATCTCAAGCAATGAAATCACATCTAGAATCGTAGCTGCGGTTACAGTCACCACCTGATTGATAATGCACTGTCATCCTATGAGATCCATCTGTTCTCTGCAGGGTTCAAATAGGTGGGCTGCACGGGGATGTGGTGGGCATCAACCACCCCTGCATTAGTCCTTGACGGTGACACTAATCTCCGAAACCATTCCAGAAATGTGGTATTGCTTCTGGTTTACTATACTCCTAAGTAGAGACAGTTCCAGTGACTCACATTTGTCCTTTCCGAGTACGGTAGCTCTCCACAGTGCAGGTCAGAAAATGGAGGTGGATATTTGCCAGTTCCCGAGTAAGTCTATACCAAGTAAGCATTCTAGAACTGGAGAAATAACCACAGGTTCAGGAACTCACTGGCCCTGCTTCTCTGGTTTCATCTTTGCTTCTTCTGTGGAAGACCCAGTCCCTTTCTTTTTTTTTTTTTTTTTTAATTTTTTTTTTTATTTATGTATGATAGTCACAGAGAGAGAGAGAGAGAGAGAGAGAGAGGCAGAGACACAGGCAGAGGGAGAAGCAGGCTCCATGCACCGGGAGCCCAACGTGGGATTTGATCCCGGGTCTCCAGGATCACGCCCTGGGCCAAAGGCAGGCGCCAAACCGCTGCGCCACCCAGGGATCCCGACCCAGTCCCTTTCAAATGTCTTCCAGATATTTCTGGGAGCCCCCCCTGAGCCCTATAGATCTACTTCTGAAACCAGTTTTTGCAGACACCTACCCATTTCATTTACTCTTGCTCATATTCTCTGGGAGTTCCATCCTGGCCACTGCTACTGTAGTGAGAACATGAGTGCCTAGACGCTGCTGAAGGCTAAGGGTGCATTCTGCACAGCTATACATGTGACACAACTTACAATCCCTACGTGTTCCCCTTAGGACCCTAGTGACACCGCTCCTTTACATTTTCACTATGGGAGTAACGGACAAGAGTGTGCTCGGAATCGCCCTGCCCCCATGACGAATGTCCATAATCCACCAGCAAAACATTCGCACGACGACTTTCTCTTCCCTTGGGTGGATTCCTTCTCAAGAAAGTGCTCAGTTTCCTTTTATCTGCAGGTTCACTAGACCAGAGCTACTAGAAATGGGGTCCACAAGCCGGGCTATGGAGCCTGTTAGCAGTACGTGACAAAATAACACAGGGGTTGAGAGTAAAGTGTTCACTTTATAGCAATTAGACATACCAACTTAATGTCTGTTGATTTTGATAATAAAAAATTGAGATTTGTGATATTTGTAGTTTTACCTCATGTCTCTAATGACTTTTTTCCTTGGGTTTTACAAAATCTCAGTCTATGATAGATCCGAAATTTAAAAACAGAAAGAAAAAAGGAAATCTGGTCCTTCCCTACTGATGATTTAAGAAACTGTGCTCCAGTGATTGAGTGTAAGCTTGAGGCTGGAATGTGCTCTGCAGCATACTTGGCCTGGAAGAGTTTGGCAAAAAATTGGGTTTGTTGCGACCAACCTGAAGTAGTGGAGGGGAAGGGCAGTAGGACTGGTGTTAACCCTGTAATATAAGTTCTCTTGCTCTTTGCTTGAACTAGGAACACAGCCCAACTCTCTGACCAGTGCACATGGCGTAAGCGAGAGAGGAGATGAGGAGCCTACTCTTGCACGCCAGGTGGGTGGGAAGAGAAGGGCTCTGACTCACTGAGTGTTCTCAGGTCCAGTGGCTCAGCAATAGGGGACAGGTTGCCTTCAGAGACACGAATAGCTGTCCTCATCATGGAAGTGACTCCCCTAGTCCAGAGGGAACGGTGCTTCCATGGGGCAAGATTTACCTGGGCAGGAGGAGGGCGGGGATTCTCAGAATACCCGCTAACACTTTGGCTGTGTCTTAAGTGGCACTTCCTTTATGTAAAGCACCTACCTGGTAGCAGACAAGACCTGACTCAGACCTCCTCCCTGGCTGTTCTCTCAGACAGCCCTGCTCCAATTGCTGTTTGCCCAAAATATCCTCCCTCCTCTTGGACTTGGAGAAATAGCTGAGGGAACTGCACCAGGCTCCTGTCAGGGGGCAAAATCCACTTTTCAGGACTGCTGACAGCAGGAAAACATCTAGTGGAGTGCTAATGACGTAGTATATGTCACATATATTACCAATTAGCTTGACCTCTTCACGTCAAAGCCCCTCCAAAAATGACTCTATCCCTGCTGAAATATACCCTCCACCATAGAGCTTTGTGTATCTCACATGCAGAATTTGTCTTGTTTATTTCTATCCATGATCATATATGTCTTTATCTTTTCCATATTTAACTAAGAACTCCCTCAGAACAGGGACTATTGCTTCAACTCCAAATTCTTGGTAGCACACAGTCTAACAGAAGTGGATTCTTCATGGTCATTTATGACAGTAATCGGTTCTATTTCTTTTTAAATTACAGATAGTAAGCATATATTTTAATAGCAAAATATTACAGGCACAACAAAATGCTCTTTTTAATAAACTTAACCAAAGAATATAAATAAACATGGCACATTTTACAAAAAAGTAAGAACAATATGACCTACGCAAAGAAAAACTCTTGGTTCTACGAAAACAAAACACGCACCACACACCTCAGTGGGGATTTATTTGGAACTCCTTTGTGAAACTGACATAAAACATTTTAACTTGACATTTGCTTTATCTCATATGATACACATAACAAAATACATTAAAAACCTTGTTGAAGTATACAAAAATGTAATATAACTTCTGAGTCCTGGGTGTCTAAGTAACAGAAGAAATGTATTGATCAAGGTATGCACTTGGACTGCAAAAGCAGTGTTAGATCATAGCTTTGCACCATACTCTTTTTAGTTTTGGGGTCTCCCTCCACTTTTATCTCTCTTCCTACCTATAAAACTTCTACTAAAAAAGCAATATTAATAAAGATAAGGGGAGGGATTAGAATCTAATTATGAATTCTGGATGCCAGCATCTTGTTCTCTTATTTCAACCCCGTGATTCTAGCTTGAAAATGTGGAGTAACACATCATTATATATTTTGAATGGATTTAGTGTTGCTCCTTTAACTGGCAACAGAAGTTGCTCCTGAATGAGGCTCAGGGTGCTCGGTGAAATCAATGCAAGGTGATTCTTACTTCCCCTGGGCCGGTGTGGACAGCTCACCCTGGGGAAGAGATTGCCATAGCACACTCTTCTCTGCTTGAGAAGTCTCTCAATCCATGGGCAGAAGTGTTGGCTGAAGTCAAATTGGTGCTACAAGTGCTCTATTATTGTTAGAGTGATAATAATGCCAATTATTATTATTAAACTACAAGTCATCTGCTATTTTATTATCTTTCCTCATTTGTTTTCTTACTCTTGAAAACATTGCCCCCCAAAATGATGAAGAGATTTTTTCTTTAGGTTTTACCTTCCTTTATCATCCTACCTGATAGTCCACAGGATATTTAATTCTCACAGGTTTATCATTAGAAGGGAGGGAAGGACCCTCTAGATTTCTGAGCCTTTTTATGAAGAGAAAATAAATAACTGCCAACATTTCCCATTTTAGTTTTGGAAATTGTTTCTGTATGAAGAGAAAAGACAAGCAAAAATAACGCTGCCTCCCCCCATCTTCGGTGTTTGCTATTTCCATACACTTGATGTAGAGGCAAAGTACACAGCTGTTCCCGTCCTGGTTGATGGCACAACCTGGATGTCAGATGAGCTGACTGTAAGGCAGAATGGGACTCTAGGCAACTAATGTCAACCAGCTTGAGGACCACAGTGAGGGAAAACAAGATCCCTTTATCTTCTATTGGGCATTCTGAGAGTGAGCATGCCTGGCCTGGTAGTTCCATCCGTTTTCCTCAGAACGATGATGCTTTGATATTCTCAAGAAAACAACATCTTGAAGAGCAAGCAGTGACCTGTGAGTCAGCAAATGTGGTGTGTTCTGAAAAGTCCAAATCCGCATCTGCTTTTGATTTGTTTTGAGAGAGAAATCCTTAGTCAGCTTTCCTCTGAAGCCCGCTGTGGATCACAGCATCAAGGACCATGCCACCCTGCTCCTGAGTCAGGACATCTTTGGTCAGGAAAGGTCTATTTAAAGATGAATGACCGAGATCGGATTGCGCCTTCTCCTTGGTCGAGCTGCTTTCTTATTTGAGACTGTAATAGAGCATGCACGTGCGTATTTATTATTGAGTAATTTTAAGATAACAAACTTGACATATTAAATAAGACATGCTGGTTAATAATAACATCGTGCCACTATAAATGAATTAATAGGTGACGATTTTCAGTATGGTTTTTTTTTTTTAAGATTTATTTGTTTATTCATGAGAGACTCAGAGAGGCAGAAAGAGAAGCAGGCTCCCCGAGAGGAGCCTGATGTGGAACTTGATCCCAGGACTTTGGGATCAGGTCCTGAACTGAAGGCAGAGGCTCAACCACTGAGCCACCAGGTGCCCCTGGTATGATTTTCTATATTTTTCTCAGGATAAATACTGTAAAGTAGTTGCTAAAACACATACAAATTGGGAATTGGCCTAATACTTATGGCGGTTCATAAAATGCAATACTACTCAATGAATCAAAATGAATACTTAACTCTAAGTTTATTGATGGGGAAAAATGTTTATAATACATTGTCAGTGGAGCACACAGGTAAAAAAAAAACACTGAAGAATGACTGAATTTTGTTTTTGAATACTTATTTGCACAGGGAGAAGTCTGAAAGTGTGTGAATTTGATATTTTTTACCTTAATTTTCCCCAAATAATGATGTTACTTGAATAATTACAAAATACAAAGAATAAAAAGCTGATTCCTATCTGAGTAAATGTTTCATGTGGCAAAGTATTTCCCCACTGAATAGCAAATACATTGGAACTATCTCAGACTGAGTGGCATATTTATTTGCATTTCAAACTGAAAAGATAACCAAAAACAAAAGTCCTAGCATCTAGAAAAGGATATGCAACAAATTTCTACATATCAGCTAATTACATAAAATATCAGGAAAAATTGTTTATATTGGAAAACATCAAGGGTTTCAAGATGGTATTTATGAAAATTTTTAGAAAGCTTTAAGGAGGGATCCCTGGGTGGCGCAGCGGGGCGCCTGCCTTTGGCCCAGGGCGCGATCCTGGAGACCCGGGATCGAATCCCACGTCGGGCTCTCGGTGCATGGAGCCTGCTTCTCCCTCTGCCTATGTCTCTGCCTCTCTCTCTGTGTGTGTGACTATCATAAATAAATAAAAATTTAAAAAAAGCCTAAAAAAAAAAGAAAGCTTTAAGGATAAGTTCTTGACTAACGACTCACTAAGTTGCAAACATAGATACAAAAAAAATGTATGAGACTGGTAAATTTTTATAAGTGCTCTGTCTTCCCCCTGGCAGGGATACATAGGAAGTAGACCAAATAAACCACATTTTGTCTTGATCTTCACAAACACACTGAAAGCTGAGCTAAGTTCCTCTGGCAACCTTCCTCCTCTATTTAAAAGGATTTTCTACTATAGAAATATGTCAACTTTCCCCTAACTGACCTTCTGGTCCCATGGGACCTCCTCTGGGCAAGACTGGACCAGGCTGCACACTCAAAGGAAGACTAATGTACTTGAGGGCATGAGGCTAAGGCTCTGGGGCAGAGATCCCAGTGCAACTCTTTTCTCTCTTACCCCTGTCTACATGCCTTCTGTGTCTCATGAGAATAAACAGACTATTCCATGAGCCTGCCAGTGGACATCCCATTGATTCTTGGGGATAGTCTGACACTAGCAACAGAAATACATTTGAAATCATCAACATGTTACTTCTGAGTCCTAGGCATCCAGAGGACTTGTATAACTCACCAGTTTCCAGCGTAATATCTTGATCCACTCATCAGCTTCTACTCCTGTCTTTGCACAGAGATAAAATGTCCTGAATGGGAACACCAAGCTGATAAGACAAAAGAAACACATAAGATGCTCCAGATGGTTGCCTGAATATATTGGTTGAACAGTAATTAGAACATTCAACAGGAAAAAAAGAATCAACAAAGCTACTGGAAGAACTGGTGAATTCCAGCAAGTGGCAGAAATGTTGAGGAAGTTGTAGATTCATATCATCATCAACCAGATTTCTATTTTCTTTCTTTTGGGGGGGGCGGTGGTCAGATTTCAATTTTCTAATGAGAATTGGAAAAAGAAAAAACATGACCAGGACACCCCCAGATCCTTTTGTTGCTTATGTCTTAGACTGAATACAACACTCGTATTTATAATACAATATATAATATAATAAACACTTTGTGTTTATTCAGCTGATGTGTTAAATGACTCAGAACCTGTGCTGTGATTCAAAGAATAAGTAAGTCATATAAGAGTTTTCTGAAGAAACTCATTTGTGTTGGCTTGATTTGATGAGAAATGATCTCTCCTCTGTGGATGTAAGCAGTTTTAACTATTCAGAACACAGGAAAAAGGATAATAAATGTCTTCAACTATTCATTTTGCCTGCTCTGTCATGAGTTAATCTCTGCTGGAAGAAGACAAACTTTCCTACTCGCATGAAAAACTTATTCTAGGAATATGGTAACTCTTCATTGACTGTCTCTTTGGCTATATAGTCAAATCTTTTGACTAATAAGGTCAGCCCTAACTTACATCCTGCCTGTATTTCCTATCCTTACAGTTGGGATGCAAAACACTAAAAATCCTTTTTCCCTCCTCTCAAGAAAAAAAAAAAAAAAGCCTAAAAAGCCTTGAACTAAAATTCAGAAGGGTTTCTATAGCTTAAAGCCAAGCAGTATATCTTGTTTGTATCAGTAATTAATGTTGAATAGACAAGATGTAAGACCCTGTGCACAGAAGGTAAACCTTGATGTGAGGTCCAGGTGGGTGAGGAGCAGACAGTGGGGAGGTAGTGGTGCTACTGCGCACACACTGTATAAAACTTTCTGGAATTGTCATTGTTTGGTACTCCCTGTGAGAGACATTATTAATTGCCTATTAATGCAGATAATTTTTCCTTTCTTCTTGCTAACAGGACCCCAGGCAATAAATTATAATTAGTTGGGAGCAAATTATGATCTTACTAGTTTTCTAGCTTCCCCTGCTGCCAGCAATGGCCATGGGGCCCAGCCCTGGCCAATGAGATAGGAGGGGAAATCTGATAGAAGATTTCTGAGAAAATATCTGCCTTTGAGATCAAAAGGGACAGACATGGCCGATACCAACCCTCCATCCTTCATGACTGACATGAAAATGTGAGGCCTAAAGCTGGAGTAGCTCTCATGGACACTAAAGTAGCAAGCGAAACGTTAAAGGCCAGGAGAACTCTAGAGATGCTGGTGCTGATCTTGTCAAGCTAGCTGTCCGCCTCCTGATATTTTGTTATATAAGAAATAATGCCCCCGCTGGCTCGTATGGTTACTTTTAACTGAATTTTAAAAAGATACCCATTATTGGTTGATGTTACAGAATTAATGTTAATTTGGGGGGGGTAATAATGGTGAGATTTTTATTCTTAAAAAGTGTGTACTAGAGTATATAGGGGTAAAGTGCCATGATATCTCCAACTTATAATTCAATTGGTTCAGGACAAAAATGAATAGTGGTAAAACTGACAGGGCAAAATGTTAATGATGCATGTAGCTGAAGGGCATATGAATCTTTCAACATTTGTATGTTTGAAAAACATTAAAATAAAACTTGGTGGGAAATAAGACACTTCTTTTTCAAGACATTTTGCTTTTCCCAGTTTTCTAACTGGGAGTATATTCTAACCAATATACTGATTTGGTTAGAACAAAACACTTTTGTGTCATCTGCCAGAAATTGTCATAATAATACAAATCATTCATTGTTGGAGGCAACAAAGTTAAAAATAAAATTGAGTAAAAAAACTCCAAAGGAACAAGATGAGAATGGCATCCTGTTACACGTATACTTAGGCAGCATACCACATAAAAAACTGTAGCCACCAGACCTGCCTATTTGTTTAAGTCCCTTTAAATGAGCCATTATGTCACACTCAGCTGGAAGCACTCCTGACATATATGTCCTGTGTGTTAGTTAAATCCATGTCCCTCAGATCAGGACATTCATACACATAAGGACATTCAGGGTTTTTTCTTTCTTTCTTTCTTTTTTTATTCCTCAGCGAAAATAATTGGCAAGAAGACTTTTGAAATCATTTTCTTTACAAAACAACTTACCAAAAACAGTTTACCCTTTCCTGTGAATAATCAAATTGTACAGCCGAACACTCTGTCAAGTCTAAGATCCGAATTGGTTCTGGTGACTTAAAAGAAAAAAAAAAACAGCCTATTGTCATCACACACACACACACACACAAAAAAAAAACCACATAAATTTGTTCAGCACCTATTTCCCTAAAAATCTTCCACTATGTGCACCTGTCCATTTTATTTTCACTGAGGGGGCTGATCATGGAGAAGCTTACTAAGGGGTGTCATAACCCCTGGTTTGGGGATTGGCTAGTTATGAAACTGGATGTTAGAAAAAGATTGTCTTTATCAATTTAAATTTAACAGAGATGCATTTTAAATACAGAAGGGAATCATAGTTTTCTTTCATGTTTTTAAACTTATGTTTTCTCAGAAAATTGGGGTATGGAAAGTAAGAAGAAATAAAATAATTTCAAATTGGCTTAATGCAATGGGCATGGGAAACAGACATTGTTTTTTGTTTGTTTGTTTGTTTGTTTGAAGTAGGCTCAATGCCCAGCGTGGAGTTCATCTTGGGACTAGAACTCAAGACTCTGAGATCAAGACCTGAGCTGAGATCAAGAGTTGGACATTTAACCAACTGAGCCACTCAGGTGCCCCGAAATGGGGATATTTTTGATAAAGGGAGAAATTGCTGCAGAGAGAGCTAATACATGGTGACAAGAGAACAATCCCATTGCCCTAAGAGGATGATGCTGTGCGCTGGGAGCTAGTTGAGCCAGTTCAAAAGAGCAGTTGCTAGAACACACATCTCATCCTTGTGAAAGAACTCTGCTCGAGGCTCCTGGCTGGCTTAGTCCATGTAGCCTGCAGCTCTTGATCTTGATTGGGGTCATGAGTTTGAGCCTCATACGGGGTGTAGAGCTAACTTAAAAAGAAAAGAAAAACTCTGCCCATATCACAAATCAAGAATTCATATTTCCAAACATTTATTGGTGTTTCAGTTGCTCATAGAGAAAAAAATCAGAGCTCTCAAAGGCAGATGTTCCTTCCATCTAGAGAGCTGATTTTTAAAGGGAAAAGGTATTATCATGTTTCTCACCATCTGGTCTTTGAAGTATTTCAGTTCATTCCTGTGCAACGTGAACCATCTTGTTTTCCAGGTCTGAGGAAAAACAAAAACAAAAACAAAAACAAAAACATGTAGGTTTTGGATATGGGAATGCAGTATTTGAACTGGACCATTTCCTTTGATTTGAAAAGAATCTAAAAGATTAGCTACAATAAAATATTGTTATGGCAAAGTCATCTCTGAAGGAAAGTTTGAAAATACCTACAAAGACCAAAATGATTTCATACGTAGAGTTCATGATGAAGGCAGAGATATTGACAGATGTAAACAAATACAAAGAAATAGTCTATTATAAATATCCAAGGTGATTTATGACAAATCACTAAATGTTTATTAACTCTATGATAAGAATAGGTACCATTTTGTAAGCACCTATTATGGGCTAGATACTACCCTTGGAGATTTATATATATTACAAACTTTATACAATGCCAAATATTCTTGTTTAACAAATACACAAATTGAAGTTGAACAACCTCAAACTACATGATTTTCTAAGAGTTGTCTAAGAATTCCACAGTATTGGTAGCAGGTGCTGTTGGTTCCCACCTTCTCCCTCCTAGGTACTAACCGAACCCTCATCTTCTCTTGAGTGGAATGTGCCCAGTTAAAAGAAGTAACAGACAACTTAAAAATAAGTATGCTATAAGTATAAATACTTTCCACCCTTAGGGAGCATCCAGTCTAATAGGAACACAAGTAACAATATTTAGGTTAACGTCAAGCAGGTTAAGTTCCCTGACTCTTAAAATAGGGAGGAGTAGACATATTCTATGAAGGCCTTCTTAGCACATTAAAATGAAGTAGCGTACTTTGAAAGGCACAATTACATAAACGGAAGGACAGTTGGATGCCCCAGATTAGTAAAGTTTTAAGTTGTGCTTTCTTTGGGATTTTATAACATAGTTACATTAATGCCAGTGATGTTTTTGGCCTACTTTTAGGTAAACATTTTACACAATTTTGACTTCTTTGTTAAAAAAAAAAAAGAGGGAAATTTTCTAGAGTTAACTTGCTACTTTCATCCAGGATTGTTCCATTAAAAGGACTGTATGTTTTGGGGGCAGTGGCGGGTTGTAACAGTAACCTACTCTCCCACCTTTGACATTGCCAAAGAAAAGTCAAGTGACTTTCCAGAATGTTGACTAATATTAGTGATAAAGATCAACTCTTGAAACAGGAAAATATTATAACTGGGTCAAAATAGGCAATTATGCTTTTTTTTTTTTTAAAAAAAAAAAAAGGTCAAAGCAAGAATTTAGTCTACATGACATGTCTGTCTGTGGCCGGTGCTAGCAAAAACATGTCTTCTTACCTTGACCAGGCCCCCCTGTTTGGTGAGGTAACCTTCTTTGGTGCCCAGCTGAAAAAGAAAGAAACTCCAAGTAAAGCCCAGAACTATTACAACATGATTTTTGTCTTTCTGTTTCGGTCCTATTTGAACATGAAACACCCGGTTTGCCTTTGACCTTTGACCTTAGACCTCTGTGGGTGCAGCCTCTGTGGCTCCGCGGTTTAGCGCCACCTTCAGCCCAGGGTGTGATCCTGGAGAGGTCAAAGGTCAAAGGCAACCAGGCTCCCCCAATTCCTCACCACTGTTTTAAAAACTCCATTATACAGATACTTCTATGTAGAGTCATATTGAGATATTAGGGCAGGAGAATCTATCCGATACTTGGAGTAAGCAAAGAAGGGAAGCAATAAGCCTTGCAGAATTGGGTTAAGAGGTTTATTTCCACCCAAGTATGCTACCTCTCATGCTCACACCCACTCTACAGATTAGGTCCTGCATTTTACTGTTGATAAAGAACACGTGTAGTAGGGTATGGTCCAACTGACCCTGAGTGAGGACCTTCAGGGTAAGTGCAGTAAAGGAGACTGTGAAGCTACATTGACAGGACAGATGTTGAGGTGACTGGTGGCAGGGTGAGGGTTCTCCAAGGCCTTCCATGTTGTTCCATAAAGAGGAAAGTCAGGGAAGGGACGGGTGGGTTGGCTGGAAATCAAAGAATTGATTGGGAGGTAAGTCCTGCTCTGTTCTTTGGTCTCTTTTGACTGGAGACTATTTATTGTCTTGCTTTCCTAACCTTGCTAGTTTGATGAGTCTTCCTACAACTGTAACAAAGCTAAAATATCGCTTTCAATCAGTTTCCAGGATTTTTATTTTTGAGTGGATGTAGCACAGAAACAAAAATGTAACATGCGCCACGAACCAGGCTAGGCTACAAAGCTACAAAGACAAGCTATGATTCTTATCCTGAGAAGTGTCAGGCCACCAGGGAAGGCAGATGCATGCCTAGGTAGTTAGCACCCCCCACCCAGCCCCCCTGGGTGATGGTTGCAGGACAAAGGCAAGCAGAGGGTGCTCCCAGCACAAAAGAGGGCCACTTTATAAAGAAAGCAAGGAGGGGCCCAGGAAGGCTTTCTGAGAGACACTGGTCTCTGATGCCAGTCTTGAAGGGTGATGAGGGGATAGCTGCGGGGGGTGGGGGGACAGTGCGGGCAGAAGGAGCGCAGAGAAATGCACTTTGTTGTGAGCCTGGGAATGGCACAGGTGAGACTGGAGGGACCAGGTGGGCCAGAGGACAGCAGGCACCACGGAAGGTTAAGCAGGGAGGTCATGTGATCCATCTGCTTTTTAAGAAGGATCTCCGTGGTGGCAGGGTAGAAGGGTGGAAAAGGTACTGCAGACAGGAGGGCCACACATTTATAACTGTCATTTGTAGCGGAGTGTCTTCGAGGGATGCCGTTTCCAAGGGTAGAGTCGGCTCTCTGCATTTCTTCTGTGGGTTGCCTTCTTTCTGATCCGCACAAATCCTGATGCTCCTCTTACAGCAGGAGCATTTGACAAAGCAGGAAGGGAGAAGGACAGGGGAGCCCTGAGCACCGTGAGGGGACCGGGCGGTGCCGGGAGGAATGTTTGCAGGGTCACAGCTCACAGGACCAGCGGAAATGGGCTCTTGAAAGACAATGAGCGCTCGGGCTTCCCTGAAACTGAACAAGGGCCACGGCCCACGTTGCAAAGAAGTGCAAATGTTTTCTGTCCGTACCTCTCCTTCAGTGAAGGAGAGAAAAAAAAAATAGGAAAAAACAACATCCTCGGGTTTTATAGTCAACGTGTGAATATTTTTCTTCCGCAGACAATTGAAATGTAAATTTCTTTTTTCTGAATATAGGGAACTTGTGGGAGAATTACAGTTTAGCCAACCACGTGAACACCAGCATCTTTCGTCCATCCTAAGTCAGGACGGGAATAGACGTGCCACTTTCAGTGTTTACAGTCCCATCACTATGGCATTGTATTTCTTTCTTTTTTTTTAAATTTTTATTTATTTATGATAGTCACACAGAGAGAGAGAGAGAGAGAGAGAGGCAGAGACACAGGCAGAGGGAGAAGCAGGCTCCATGCACCGGGAGCCCGACGTGGGATTCGATCCCGGGTCTCCAGGATCGCGCCCCGGGCCAAAGGCAGGCGCCAAACCGCTGCGCCACCCAGGGATCCCTGGCATTGTATTTCTTGAGGATTTACCCTGGATCAGAGGAAATGAGTCATGGGCTTCAAACTTTATGTTCCTTTCCAGGTTTTATAACCCAAGTTAGAGTTTTCATGTGAACAAACGAATGTTTAAGAGTGTGTGACGGCCGCGGCGGATGGGGAGCCACTTACAGAAGGTGCAGTGGGCACGAGGTCATTCTCCGTTCTTCCCGTCTGCATTGCTGTGTGAACCCGGACAGACTCATAAATGGAAGGTTCTTCCACTTTCCTCGGATAGGGGTGTTTCAGGACAATCAGAGTGCCTGGGTGAAGACAAAAGAACATATCAGAAGAGTAGACCCGGAAAGAAGGTCCCAATGCTAACAAGCAGAGACCTGGGGCTAGATTTTAGCCTCTTGTTTTTAGATCTTTTCCCGTGTTCATTTTCTTGACGTTTATCAAGTACCAACTATGTGCCAGGCACTTAGGGTGGACACTGGAGATATAAAGCATGATGAGATGATTTCTGTTCTCCTAGTGCTCAGGCAAAACTAGCAACAGATGTCAATAAACAGGTAGTCATTTAAGTGGACAGGGTGATGACATCAGTGTCAGAGATGCAGACGACACATGCCAGGGACGCCCGGGGGCCCGAAGACCCCTTCTATGGAACACTTTGGAAAAGCCTTCACGAAGGAGGCTACATGGGTCCAGACTTTAAGGTATAATTGGAAATCTTCCAGGTAGGCTTTATAAAGGCCGTGAAAGTAAAACCCAACAAATGCACTGGGGTATGAGAGGATTTATTCCATGGTTTCAGAACAAACTTGTAACAAATCAGTGGATCTCAAAAAAAGCAGACTCGTTGCATTTTCCCTACTGTCTCCTACCACCTGATTAATAAAATAAGCTACATGGGAATTTGCTTTGCTCAAGTGAACATGACCTGAACCAGCATATGTACGATTGCCTTCACTTCCATTTGGAGGAAGAGGACTGGGCAGAAAAAGGGCCAGTCTTTGGGGGCTTGGGTGATCCCTCCAAGGCTGAGAGCACTTCTTCTTTTTTTTTTTTTTTTTTAATTTAAAAAAAAATTTTTTTTAATTTGTTTATGATAGTCACACACACATACAGAGAGAGAGAGAGAGAGAGAGAGAGAGAGAGAGGCAGAGACACAGGCAGAGGGAGAAGCAGGCTCCATGCACTGGGAGCCCGACGTGGGATTCGATCCCGGGTCTCCAGGATTACGCCCTGGGCCAAAGGCAGGCGCCAAACCACTGCGCCACCCAGGGATCCCACTGAGAGCACTTCTGACTCAACACTTCTAACCATCCCCCCTCTATACTCTTCCCTTCTCCCAATCAATTAGCTGATCGGGAACCAGATAACTTACAAAAAGAGTGAGTTAAGGGTTTCTTCCCTCTTGCTATGGTGTCTTGCTTTTTATTTTACTGGAGTCTTGTAAAAGGCAGGCCTGAGATTGTACCAGACCCTGGGGGAGATATCAAGAATTCAGTAATGTATTCAACAAGTATTTATTGCCAGATAAATTGTTGCCAGACACTTGTCCAGGTAATGAGGATACAACAGCAAACAAAGAAGATACAGCACCTGGTCCTCTGGTAGGGGAACCAGAAAAAAAAAAAAAAAGAAAAGAAAAAGAAAAGAAATAGAATACATCAGGTGAGAGCAGTGTTCTGGAAATCCTAATAGAGCAAGATAAAGACATAAGGCAGGTGATGAAGGTGGTGTTGGGGGAAGAATGATATTTCATGGGGGTGGTCAGAAAGGCTTCTTTGAAAAGGTTTTTTGAAAGATTATAGATAGTGTGGACCTTGAACTGGAGTAAGAAGGAGATAATAAGGACACAGAGAGATCACCTCTGCAGTTAAAAAGCACAAGATAATAATACTACACCTAAAACAAAGCCAAACCATTCTATGGTGCTCGGCGCTCAAGTATGCATGACGTACTGACTGCAAAAACACAACTGTGGCATCTGAGAGCGGACCAACGTGACACTTGAAAAGGGGCCCTGAGAAAAGCCAGGAGAGGGTCTCTGACTTTGCCCCCAGACAAGAATGAGACCCTGACCTCCTCCCTCTTCTACATCCTGTTCACAACTGTAGCATTGGGATCACAATGAAAAATGGCTTTCGCAGCTATCAGAAGCCCCTGTCCTTCCCTTGCACATCGTCAGCGCTCTTTTGTCAATGTGATCCTTTCATGAGAACAGATCCAGTCATATCAGGACAAGGGGCCAGTTACAGTTTTACAGTCATAATGAAAGCAGAGACGCCTAAATCAAGAGCAGCCGTTGTACAGGCTCAGGGGCTCTGTGACACAATCAGCAAGCCAGATGCTTGGTGAGTGTGGGGTTGGCTCCAGGTGACTCTCCCCAGAGACTCACCCCTAGCGATGTGCCCAGCGGTCACCATGGCATCATGGAAAGAGCCTCTACTGGCGCTCAGTACCTATTGACCCTGGGCAGTCAGTCTAGCTCCTGTTTCCTCCCCAGACACGTGAGAATAATGACCCTTTCTTCACAAGGCTGTTTGAGGCACCGAATAAAAAGTGTTTGCGAAAGGATTATGAAAATGTTAGATGTTATTATGCTTTGATATAGAGTATTTTTAAATTCGTAAATGAAAACCCAACGATTGCATCTTTGGAACATGAATTTTTAAATGTCGAGTTAAAAAAGACCCATGTGTGACATTCTGCCAAGAATAAAATGGCAGAGTCTAGAAGCCACTGACTACAGCTTGAAGACGAATGAGTGCCTCCTAAGCCCTTCCATCTGAGTGCGGGAGAGGGGACTGGAGCCCAGGGCTCCAAGCAGCTCACAGGTTAGAAAAAATATGAAATCTTAATGCTTTCTTTTCAACGATGATGCTAAATTTTCATCTGTTTCCATATGTTTAATATGAAAATATATTTCTTTAATGATGCCTTAGAGAGATGTGCCTGGTCAATCCTGTTTTTGTCCACAACCAGGCATACCACCTATAGTGGTTTCCTATTGCTTCTGTAACAAGTTACCGCAGTTGTAGTGACTTAAAATAACTTGAATTTATTATCATATAGTTCTGAAGGTCAGAAGTCTGAAATGGGTCTCACTAATCTAAAAATCAAGGTATTAGCAAGGGCTGCTTTCCTTTGGGAAAGGCTCTAGGGGAGAATCCATTCCTTGTCTTTTCTAGCTTCTAGAGGCTGCCAGCATTTCTTCCCTGGCGGCCCCATTCCTCCCTCTTCAAAGCCAGCAACAATGCGTGTGAGGCCTGCCCACGTTGCCATGTGTCTGGGGTCTCCCTCTACTGCCTCCATCTTTCACTTATAAGGGCTTGCAATTAGAATGGGCCTGCCTGGAAAACCCAGGATAACCTCCCCATCCAAAGTCAGCTAATAGTCCTAATTCCATCTGCAAAGTTAATTCCCTCTTACCAGGTAACGTAACATATTCACAGGTCCAGGAAGAGATGTGGGCATCTTTGGGGGGGCTATTATCTTGTCTACCACAGTATTAGTGCCTGGGAGGTAAGCATAGACTTGAGGGCCAGTTGTGCTATATTCTAAGGATCTCTGGGTGGGGGTGCTGCTTATAGCCACAAAACTATAACCACTTGGTATTATAAAGCCACTGTCTTTTCAACAGGTGCATTTCCCAACCCTGTGAGTCCCTTCAGGGCAGGTATGGTCCCAAATTTATGTTTGTAGCTCCATCTCCTGGTACAGATGCTGACATAATGAAGGATTGATCAGTGATTGGGTAAATAAATGCCATAGTAATTCAGGTTTAAGTCAGAGAAGAGCCTGGAAGGAACCAGCCTTGCCAGGGCCACGATGACCCTGCCCTGGGGGCAAGGACAGGACCACAAAGACATGTACAGCTGTTCACATTTCCAGTGGGGGGAGGGATCAAATTCTATTTCAAAAACCTCTTCTAAAGTTTAACCAACAAAAGCTAAACTGAGGGAAATGATAATGAGTCAACAGGAAAGTAGAATTGAGTATAGATTGATTTTTACTAGTAAGACGGTGAATGAGGCTAGATTGAATGGTGGAAGGAAGAAAATGGCAATCTGCTCATAAAACGATAGCTCCCATGGATAATCCTGCCTCCTAAAGATAGATCTTCTTAGCTGACCATTCTGCCCAAGGAGAAAACAATACATAGGCTTCTTGGCATGGCTGCTGGGTTTACGATGATCTCGTCTTCTGTAGAAACTGCCCCATCCTCTACACCAGGGTAGATCCTCACAGGCCCTGGGTGTCCCCCACAAACACCTCACCCGGGTACAGTCATGGGATCCACTCCCCGGGGATCTAATTAGTTACTTCTCTGAAGAGAAGGCCCACTAACTTCAGTTTCTGAGCTACGTGAAGGAGACTGTTCTTTCCTGCCTTTGACATAAAACCTCGTCTCAGGAAAGCTGGGTAGAGGTACATTTTTGAGGTGATCAGAGCAGGACCAAGGGAAGCATTTCAGTTCGCTGAAAGCTTCAGAGTTGGTATGATCACAGGGCTGATTCTTTATTGTGTCTTGGTGTTCATCCCACCTTTATATTCTGGGACGGAATAGTAATATCCTTAACAAAATAAAATAAAATAAAATAATAAAATAAACCAGAAAAATCCACTTCTCTCCCTGTACTTCTCTTGACCCATTGTTTTTCAATCAAAAGAAAGTTATAGAATATAGCCACCACAGACTCGTTCTATTTCCACCCAAGGCTCCATAAAGGAGGAACTTGGGGTTAGTGATATTCAGGCCAAGTTAACTCCAGGATTTGATCAGAAGGTTTGGTTAAAGCAAAAAGGAGGCAGGGGCTGGTAAAGGGAGGAGAGAGGAAACTCTACCGCCACAGGTCTTGGAAACCTGGCTGCGAGTTTCACTTCAGTTTCTGAGCTACATGAAGGAGATTGCTGCTTCCTGCCTTTGACATGAAACTTTGGGTTTCAGAAGCATTCGGTGGAGGTACATTTTTGAGGTGATCAGAGAGGGACCGAGGCAGGCATTTCAGTTTGCTTTGACTGAACTGCTACCTTACAGGACACCCACTCTGTATGTAACACTGTGAGATTGCATCGAAGGACTCCCTCGCTTGTATTCCTGCAGGACCTCAGGAACACAGCAAGGACGGTCTCAGGCCACAGGCATCGGGGTGATATCTGAAACAGAGTAGTGCAAGAGCACACAAAGCTCTTAAAAGGGAAACTTCTATTTAGAGTATTTCTTTTATGCATTAAAGCTAGTGCTTAACCCATCAGGTTTCTCAGCTAGACTGGAAAATGTTTGAAGGTGAGGATGATATCTGGTTCC